ATCAAAAACCACCCGAAACCCACTCATCATGCATCAACCCGAATCCATCAAAAACCACCCCTCCACCCACCAAAAACTAAAGAAACCCACCATCCATCCTGACCACCCGAAACCCACCCAAAACTACCTACCACCACCACAATTCAATCATACACCACCATAAAAATAAAAAACTCAAACCAAATTAAAAGAAAGAAAAAGAGGACATACCTCACATTCCACCGAAAAACCTCGAATTTGGGTTTTAAAGGTCAAATTCGACCATGAAAACACTAGATCTAGTGTTTTCATGGTCGAATTTGACCTTTAAAACCTTTAGAATGTGAACACTGGTGCCCAGGTGGTCGTCCTTGCCTCCTTGGTCGTACTGTCGAAGAGGAGAAGAGAGTGAAAGTGGAGAAGAGATCGAAGAGGAGAGAGAAAGGACAGAGTAGAGAACTAGAGATTGGAGAAGATAAGAAGAGGAAAGGAGAAAGAGAGAACCGAGAGGGAGAAAGCTCACAAATGGAGAAAAAGAAGAGAAGAAAGGGCGAAAGAGAAGAGGAGAGATGAGAGGCTGAGAAGAGTGATTAGGTTTTTTTTTTTTGCTTATATAGTATGGCGAAATTCGTTCGGTTCGTTTCATTTCCGAAACCGAAACCGAACCATACAATTCGGTTCTTGATTTTACAAACGAAACGAACCACTTAAGAAAAAAACCGAACCATATTCCTAATTCGGTTCGGTTTTCGTTCGTTTGTTTTAAACCAAATTTTTTCATACTATATATTACAATAATGCTGTCATTCATGAAAAAGCAACAATTAATTATATCATTTTGTCTTTAATCAAATAGCTAAAGACAAATTAAAGTTCGTAATTACTATATTAACTAATATATAGATGGTGGTCTGTGACATAATTTGGCCATACTTACTGACATTGTGATGTATAATACTTGAATGAGAATATAACTAAACTGCGTGTACTGAGTTGGTGGCGCGAAAACAAAACCTTATCTGAAGATCTGAGGTCTACTGTGAAAAGGGATGTCAGCAGTTACAATAAACAGCGTTGCGACATTATTTCTTAGCAGCAACCAGCTATAATTTGAACTTCTTAAACTAAAGGCCAAAGCAATAGCTAGCACAGCAATCGTAGCAACACACCAAGCCTAAAGTATAACATGAATGCAGAGAACTAGTAAAACCCTAGAAAATTCATATCAAAAACCCATAAAATTCAAAAACTAGAAATCAAAAAATTCATATCAAAAACAATAAAATTCAAAGCCTATAAAATTCATATCAAAAACCCATAAAATTCCAAACTAATACCCTAAAATTCGCCATAAAAATCATAACAAAAACCAAAAAACTACTGACAAAAATTTAAAAAAAAAACATGGAAACCATGGATTTGAAAACAGAATTCACGAAAAAAACAACATAAAAAGAAATTAAATTATCTAATTAAGGGCAAAAAATTTCCTCGCAATAAGAGATCGATTCTTGTTCTACACCAACTCAAAATCGAAGACATGCAAAGAATAATGCCCAATATAAATGAAATTTAGAGAATTGTGAGTTATTAGGGTACCAAAAACGATAGTTATATACCTAGCAACAATATTGTATAGCAAATTGTAAGTTGATACCTGAAATTATTGAAAGCGACGAGCAAAAAACCCACAAATTCCTTGAAGTTTAGCAAGAAAAATTGTGAAAATTCTTTTGTCACTGATCGATGAAGGAGTCGTGGGTTTAGAGGAGATGAGCAATTGAGCAGAATGTGGGCGGTTTAATTGGGAATTTGGGGAAAATACAACCCGCTATTATTTTCATTAATAATTTCGAAATTGCGAAAACAATAACTCACGTGCATAGCACATGATTTTCCCGAGCTTTTATGTGTCGGGACAATCTTCGACCTTAAAAAGCGTCGAGAAAAGGCAGTACCAAAAATCATACGCTAACGCCACATCAACAGCGTCGAACCAAAAGCGTCCAAAAAGTACGCTTTTTGTAGTAGTGGATGGTTGTCAATAAGAGTGGGGGTTATAGGCAGCGGCTCGAATAGGGAGGGGGAGGGGGAAGGGGTGGATGGTGGTGGTTTTTGTTTGGTTATATATATATATATATATATATATATAGTTAAATGAGAGTTAAAAGTGTAATTGAAATTATAGGTTAGGAATGTCAATTAGGGGTTTTTGGTTGTCCTTAACAAAAAAAAATTTACAATTTGATTTTTATTTGCCAAAATAAATTTATAATGTTTTTTTCCAACAAAAAAAGTTGTTATAAATGGTTTTTTTTGACAAAATTTCCTAAAAAATATAGAACAAAGATAATACTACTCCCTTCGTGTTTTTTAAAGTGTTACAGTTTGACCGGCACATGGTTTTAGGCAATTTAATTAACTTAAATAAAATAAGAGGTAAGTGAGGTAGTTAGAGTATTAAAAAATTATAAAAGAAAGATAATGGAATTAATAATTTATTGAAAAGTAATAATAAATGTGATATGAAAGATATAATAAAAAGGGAAATTCTCATTGGTAGCCTCGTACTTTTGCTTATTTCCATTGGTAGCCACTTTTTATATGAATTATCTTTGGTAGCCTCGAACTTTTAAAATTTTACTTTCGTAGCCATATTTAGCTAAAACTGCTAAGTCACTGTTAAGTTTAACTGAGATTAGTTTTATAATAATTAAAAATACTTAACTAAAGTTAGTTATTTCATAATTGAATTAATGTTAAATAAATAAAAATAAAAAACAATTTCCCCTAACCAGCCCAGCCATCCCCTCCCGTCTCCACCTCCACTGCCGACGACAGCGCCGGTGCCCAAGCTTCCCCTCCTATCGGTGCCCAATTCCCGACAACCCAACCCTAATTCACAACACCCCAACCCCAATTCCCGATACCTCAATCCTGATTCTCGAAAACCCCAGGCCCAATTTCCGAACACCTCAGCCCCTCCTCTCTTGCACACTAAACCGGCAAACCCCTCAACACTAGCCAGCCAGCAAAAACCAAGGTTTTTTAATGTTAACTGAGTGACTGATGGAGATGGTTGGTGAGGACGAATGGTGATGGTTGAATGAGGTAAGATCGTGAGCAGCCAAAGAAAGGAAAGAGGAACATGGTTGGTTGGTTTTGAGGGTTTTCATAGTAAGTGGGAAAGAGAAAAAAATGTGATTTTGTGGTGTATTGGAGGTTGTGGTGGATTAAGGGGGATGGGAGGGACGACTGAGGGTGGGGAGGGTAGCGGCGGCGCCGGAAGAGGAGGATAGATGAAGATGGGACCAGGTGAGGGAGATGGTCAGATGGATAGGGCCTAGTGCGTGACTGCGTGGGGAGAAGGGGTGATTAAAAAAAAAAAATTAAAACCAAAAAAATTAAATTAAAATTACTTTAGTTAAATTTTAACACCCATTTAACAGTTTATAGTAAATATGGCTACGGAAGTAAAATTTTAAAAGTTTGAGGCTACCAAAGATAATTAATATAAAAATTAGCTACCAATGAAAATAAGCAAAAGTACGAGGCTACCAATGAGAATTTCCCTAATAAAAAAGTAGTAGTAGGTTTGGGTGGGAACCATGAGAGGAGAGATTTATAATATTTTAATGTAGCTTTTTGTCAAAAAAAAAGTGTAACACTTAAAAAAACACAGCCACAAATGAAAAGTGTAGCACTTAAAAAAAAAACACAAAGAGAGTATATGCTTAATTAAAAAATTTATATGTATCCAATTTGCATACCAATTATTCAGACTGCAAGTATGTACGGAGATCAGGGGATGAAAACAACTTCACAATTTTTGTGGGTTACATAAGTTTGGAAATAATAAATGCATTTTTATCTTTTTTCACAAAAATGCATTGACTGTACGAGTACTTATTTGTCATAGTGTAGTTTGACAAGGAAGTACTAATGTAGGTTTGATATGTATGTGCAAATACATATCAAACATTAAAATATTGAAAAGTATTGTAAAGCACATGGGGGTGGGAGAAAAGGGGGAGAGAGATGGGCATGTGAGACCAGTTTTAAATGTACCACTGAAAGCTTATATAATATCATTGATTATGTAGTGATTCTATTTGTACACGTAGTTAGTACCACTGAATGAATATATAGTACCATTGAATGAATATATAGTACCATTGAATGTTCAATGATACTATTTGATCATCTAGTGATACTATTAATCACCCAGTGATACACTTAAATTCAGCACATGGGGGTGAGAGAAAGGAGGAGAGAGATGGGTAAATTTCATGCGAAATGTCTCTTATACCCCTTGATATGTATGTCCAGGTACCTATCAAACCTCCCTTTGGAAGGTCTCGTAGTTTAACTAGTTTCTATATACACAAAAGTTAAAAAAAAATGCAGGTTTACAATAATTTAATGAATGGCGGTATTGAGCATGTGAAAATTCTACGAATACTACAGTTTCTATTTTTCTCAAACCTTATTGGTTTCTATTTGATATTTTGTTTCTGCTCTTCTTCTCTCTCCTCTAAACTTGTTCTTCTCTCTTTCTCTCTCCTTTGTTCTTCAATTTCCTTCTTTTTTTTTTGACAATTTATCTTGATTTTGTAACATAATTTTCCTGTTTTGATTAATGATTCATCTTTCTACATCCAATTTCTAGGTATGTATGTTCATCTAATTTTTCACCCACTACGGAATCTACCGCCGCCGCCACCATTGCCGCGAGCTTGAGCCTCGTTAACGCAGAAATTGAATAGAAATTGATAGTTTATCTTTCACAACAGATCAAGTAACAATAGTAGCAATAATAACATATCAAAGTAGTAGAAAATTCGAATCAAAGTAACAGAATATGGGTTACTTTTGAAAAAACAAAAAAAAAAAACTAGTGAGATTTTGATACTTTGTTTTGCAAGTTGCATGCGTAACTTAATTATTTTTGTGATAAAAAGGGTCACTTTTGTGGAAAAAAAATGTCACTTTTGTGAAAAAAGGTCATTTTTGTAAAAAAAAAAAAAAAAAAAAAAGGTCACTTTTATAAGAAAAAGAAATTACTTTTTGCAAAATCTTCGATATACAATAAAATTTTTATAAACCGGGAACATGCAAAAGGTTTTGTTCTATATATACCTTGGCTCTTCCACATACAAAGTATTGCCCAAAAAAATCCTACAATATGAAGGTAAGAAAAGCTTGCGAAGCTTTGTAGTCTTTTAATTTCTAAATTTAAGTTGCTCAATTTGCCAATTTCTTTTACTTGCCTCAATACTTTTTTTGTTATTATTATTTTTGTTTGAGGTTTTAGAAATAAATAATTGAAAACAAGTAATAATTGAAGCAAATTAACTAAGACAAAGAGGATATCATGCTTATTGCTTTAGTATATTGCCATGTTTCTTTCAAGTTTTAATATTACAAGATTTACAATGTATATGGCAGGAGAGTAACAACGAAGAAAATCAAGATCAGGACTCTATCTTCAAAGGGGTAAGGACAACTTCTAAGTATGATAGCTTTACAGTTTTTTTTTTTTTTTTTTTTTTTTTTTTTCATTGCCTACCCTCAAACAGAAAATTAGGCAAAAGAAGTTTTGCAAAAGACAATAAGTATATAGAGTATTGCAGATATAAGTGCTTTCCACTTGATTATAGACAATATTCTAGAGTTATGCTACTATAGTTTTGATGATAGTGCTTGATCTTTTGTTAAGCATATTGACTAGAAATTTCTATAGTGCCCGTTTGAAATATGAGTACCGTAATGTTTTAAGGATTATGTAATTCATAATTGACATATTTTTCTCCAAGTAATTAATTACTTTATTTTAATTTTGCTATAAAATAATATTATCAACATTTTTTTAATTATCAAAATTTTAATTTATGTAATTTTAATTCTTATTTTATAGTTTTTCAAAAAATATTTATTTTATGTTGGATTACAATTTTCAAAAATTATATTTGCATTGTAGATATTAGAATACTGATTGTGTCCAATTTATAGTGTAAAAAAAAAAATTGATTGCTCATATTGTTTATCATTAAAATAATATGGTAGTTATACTCCCTCCGTTTTTAAATACTTGCTCCATTTCTATTTTTTGCACTATTCATTTGTTCTACTTTGACTAATGTTTGTGATTTATACACAAGAAAAAATATAACCTTGTGGGTATTTGTTGGAATCATCTCAATGAATAGAGTATTAATTTTCAATTGTTAGAATTTATACTTATTGGTAATTAAAGATATTAGTGATCAAAGATTAACATCGGCATGCGTGTCCAAGAGAAATAAAGTAAAAACGGAGTGAGTATTTTAAACGACTGTGGTAGAAAGACCAATATATCATCACTAATATACCACCATGAACACTAACTTCATCAGATCACCCAACAATCAAGAACTAACAAGAATGGGAGACAAAAGAAAGAGAGAAGAGGATAGATGAGAGGGAAATAAAAAGAAGGTTATAAAGAGGGGGAAAATGAGGATTTTGGTAATAGAAAATATTTACTAATGGTATTGCTTTCCTCCTCTTCACAAACCAAATTAAAATCATAAAATATTTTAAATCAGACCACACAAGGACAGAATCTAGTAATGCATTTATTGTAATATTGACACATATGTTTTTATACTTCCTCCGTCCCTAAAAAAACAACCCTTTTGGGGAGTTTTTTACGGGTATTAAAAAACTTAAGTTGGAAGTGTAAGTGTATAGGAAAACTAATAAATGTAAATTGAAAAGATAAATTTATATTGGGTTTGCAAAAAAGTAGATAGAGAAATTTGTAGAAGTTTATGGAAATAGAAAAATTTACAAGGGAAAGCTAATTTTACACAAATATTATTGCAAATTGGAGAATATTTTTATGCAAATGGGATGAATATTTTGGGACTAAAATATAGCCATAAGAATCGTTCTTTTAGGGACGGAGGGAGTACTATTTTTGAAGAAAGTCAGACTTAATTAGGGTCTGTTTTGATTAACTGAAATGAGCTAAACTGAATTGAACTGAATTTATTTGAGCTAAACTGAACTGAACTTATTAGAGCTGAACTGAATTGAACTCAACATATTAGAGCTGAACTGAACTGAACCGAACTGAATATTTTATAAGAGAAGGAAATTAGGAGCTAAACTATATTTATTAGAGCTGAAGTGAACTGAAAATAATCGTATGAGAACAATCCCTTAACTATTAGGTTTCAGTCTTGAGGAACTCTTTCCTAACTTTGTTTCTTTCTTATTTAAAAAAAAAAAAATTAACAGTATTATCGCGTCAAGGATTCCAAATGGGAAAAGTCCCCTCCATTATTAGTGAATGCATTGAAAGCAGCAGCAGAACAACAAAACGTAGCAACATTTCACTTTCCTGGACACAATAGAGGTCAAGCAGCACCATTGTCATTGATTCAACTAATTGGTGATAGACCTTTTCTTCATGACTTACCTGAGTTAGATAACCTTTCGACTCCAAAAGGGCCTATTTTGGAAGCACAAAACCAAGCAGCGGAGGTTTTTGGGGCGTCGAAAACATGGTTTCTTGTAGGAGGTACAACTTGTGGCATCCATGCTGCTATAATGGGTACTTGTAGTCCCGGAGATGCCCTGATTCTACCCCGCAATTCTCACATTTCAGCAACATCAGCCATGGTTTTATCTGGATTGGTTCCGAAGTATATATTTCCTGAGTATGATTTTGATTGGGATTTACCTACTACAGTCTCTCCATCTCAGGTAAGCTTATACTTTTTTTTTTTTAATTTTTTTTTTACTTGATTCGCTTTGACTTTTACATTATTCACCAGTCCACCTTTAACCTTTATAATTTTTATTTATGAAAAATTAAAGTTATTGATAATTAAAGTTATGTATTGACAAGTGTGATAAATGAAACAGATTAAGTAAAAGAAAAAATAATAAAGAGAAAGTAATATTTTCACTTTTTTTTTATATGTACATTGTTACTATAAATTGTTGTATGTTTCTAGAGAAGATAACATATAATAAGAACTTAGATAAAGTTGAGTGAGGTTAAAGAACAAAATAAAAGTATGAAAAAAGTGGACAAAATAAAAGATCAAGTGAGCAAATGTGTAAAAATTGGGAGTTAAAGGGGTTAAGATATTCCAAAAATCGTAGTTATTTAACTACAATTATTCAAAAGCCTAATCCTCAAATCACATTCATTATTTAGCTTTTTTTGTTTAATATCTAATTTAATAACTTCAACTTCTCACTTTTTTAAAAAAATAATTTCCACCTTTTTTTTTTTCTTTCTAAATATACATGCTACGTATAATATGTCATGTGAAAGCATGGATACACTCTAATTAAGTAAATTGAGAAGTAGGATCATAAAAAATGATTAAGGAAAATTTGTCGGAAAAAGTCTTTTAAAGCAATCTTTTTGTTGGAAAAAACCTTTTAAACTTTTTTTTGGCAATCTAAAACCTGATTCTAATTTTTTTTTGTTGAAGCAACCAAAAACTCTAATTACCCTTATTATCCTCTAATTTTCCTTTATTACCCTTTTATCTCTCAATTAATTATTTAAAAATTATATTAATTAAAATAACATAAAACACCAAAACCCCCACCACACCACCAGCCAGACACCCCTCCCCTGCAACAGCCTTAAAGGCCAAATTACTGTTTGCGAGGCAAAGAATATCTTGATTTATGGTTTCAAATGTGCTCCACCAATCAATTAGGTCCTGATCCGGATGTTGTTCAAATCCAAACTTTACCGGTGGCCTTGGTGGCGTATTGCGTCAGATTTGGGGGTTTTTTGGTTGCGAATTTGAGGAGGGGAGGTTAGATTTTTGGGGCGTTGTATTGGGTGAGGCATTGGAGCGAGGATGATAGTTTTCGGCGGGGATGGGGGAAGCTGCTAGGCGTCGCCGACCGCCAGGGGTGTCTAGATCGGGGATCAGAGGCTGGCTGGATCAATTTTTATTTTAATTAATATATTTTTAGAATAATTTTTAAATAATTGAGAGTTAAAAGGATAATTAGGAATTAGAGGATAATTAGGAAAAATTAGAAGATAATTAGGAAAAATTAGAAGATAATTAGGGTAATTAGAGTTTTTGGTTGTCTTCAACAAAAAAAATTTAGAATCAAGTTTTAGATTGCCAAAAAAAAATTTAAAAGGGTTTTTACAACAAAGGGACTGGTTTAAAAGGTTATTTCCAACAAATTTTCCTTTCTTTAATATACACTAGGTTAATTCCGTGCGATGCACGGTTTTATAATAAGAATTGAATTCTAAACTTTTAACACATATTGAAATAAAATAACTACTTCCTCCGTTTTCCTAGTTAATTTTTGATTAAATATGAATATACAATTCTCAAAGGTGCATAATTTTCATATTTAATTAGGAAATTTCAATTAAATTATATTATTAACTATTGTTAACAAATCATAAATAACTAAATAACATAATATCTATAGAAAACTAAAAATTTAAAATTCAAATGGAATTTAATTTTCAAAGCAATGTTAAATAGGGTAGCTTGTAAAGGAAAAATATGACATCATTCATGTATTTTGAAGGGAAAAAATAAAATAAGAAAGTGACACGTAGGCAGTAATGATATCACCGGTTGTTACTTTAGTGTATATATATATATATATATAGATAGATTGCATCAATTGTTTACTTATTATATTTCATTTTTTATTTTTGTGTGTGTACATTTATTCATTTTTTCTTTATATGTAGAATTAATTTACCAACTATTGATTAATTTGTATTGGGCAATGGGCATACATAATTTTTTTAGCTGTAATAGAATGCAATATTTCATGATAGGTAAAGAAAGCAATTGAAGAATTGGAATCAGAAGGCCTCAATCCAGGTGCAGTTTTTATCACATCCCCTACATATCATGGGATATGCAGCAACCTAAAGGAGATCTCTACACTATGTCACATCCATAGCATTCCACTTATCGTCGACGAGGCTCACGGCGCTCACTTTGGCTTTCACCCATCGCTTCCGTTACCGGCCCTCCAACAAGGTGCCGATGTAGTTGTACAATCAACACATAAAGTGCTACTCTCTCTAACTCAGTCATCTATGTTACATGTATCGAGAAATAGCATCATAGACCAAGATAAAATCAGCAAATGCCTTCAAACCCTTCAAACAACTAGTCCAAATTCTTTACTTTTAGCTTCACTAGATGCAACTACAGCTCAACTGAAAGAAAACCCATCAACTATTTTCGACAATGCTATTAATTTAGCAATTGAGGCTAAACACACAATCAAACAAATCCCAGGATTCGTCGTCCTTGATTATCCGTTCATTGACCCTTTAAGAGTTACTATTGGAGTCTTTAATCTCGGTTTTACTGGCTATGAAATTGACGACTTCTTATATAAGGAGCAAAGAGTGTTATCTGAGCTCCCTGGATCACGCTTTATCACATTTCCATTCGCTCCAGGAACATGTAAAGAACATGTAGATAGGCTAATTTTGGGGTTTAAGAGCTTTATATTGTCACCAACGTTCATCCAGCGTCATCATCAAAGGTCTCATACTCTCTCACATTCAATTATTAATCGCGTAAACCTTGAACAATGGAGTGATGTTAAGATTAAACTCACTCCACGAGATGCTTTCTTTGCAAAGAAGAGATATGTGGGTATCAAAGACGTCGTTGGAAAGATATGTGGGGAATCGATATGTCCATTTCCACCCGGTGTTCCGATAATTACACCGGGTGAAGTGATCTCTGAAAGGGTTGTACAAATTTTACAGCAATATAAAGCTGATAGTACTACACTAGTTGGAGCTTCTGATCCTCTTTTGTCTTCAATGCTTATTTGTGATGTTTAACTGTATGATTTAGCTTACATAGTATCTTTTATATGATATTTATTTATTAAAGATGATAGTGAGCTAGAGTTAAGAACAGACATGTATTTTTAGATATCTTTAGTTGTTTTATTGTAAGATTTTGTTCTTCAATGTTATTTCATCGCATTGCTCATCCAAAAAATGGTGGTGGTAAACATGTTGCTCATACATATTCATTTCGATTAGGATAAAGCTATATAGGTCGTATTTTGGTGGTGATATAATTTTTCTAGTTTGATTTGCGTGAGTGTGTTTTTTGGGTGAGGACAGTGCTCGTATTATGAGGGAGAATGTCGCCTGAGATAATTTTATTTATCAAATTGTCGCTTAGGAATAACTTTTTTTATCAAATTGTCGCCTGAGTTAATTTGTTTACCAAATTGTCCCTAAAGGGTTTTTATATTTACCAATTTGGTCAATTGGCCGGGAGAATGTTAAATAAATCTATCATAAAATGAGATTTCCTCTGTTCTCTCTCTAAAACCCTAGCCTCCATTGTTGAATTTTGAAGGGGCTTTTATCGGATTTACTGGTGGAAAGCCCCAATCGTTGTTTCTTTTGTGCCTTTTCTCTTGCTTTAGGTTTATAATAATTCTTCCTCTTCGAGGAGGAATATTTCTCCCTTGAAAGACAGGGTTTTTCTTCCTCTTTAAGAGGATTTGGCTCCTTCGAAAGACTGGGTTTTTCTTCTCTCTTTTGAGGGAGGATTTGCTTTTTTATTTCATGGATTGCTATTGAGTTGTTTCATTGGTAAAATTTTGTGCGGGATTGAAAAAGAGATTAATATTTCAACAACAATCGAACGAATCAGACGGAAATTTTCTGCACGGCTACAACAGATCGATAGTCCCCCTCGCCGAAGAAGGCTGTGAATCACAGCGATATGAAAGAGGGTATGAAGAATATACGATTTGCAACAACGATCGTAGCTTTGCTTACATAATGTTTTTATTTGATTCAATTATTATGTATTTGTTAGATCTAAATCTCTTTGTAGATATCGTATGAATTATTTATGAATCAATTTTATTTAAAAAAAAATGAGATTAGTGAAATTTAACTTTTAGCTATACGTTTGAAAGGACTAAAGCTAACATACTATTCTAAATTTAAGACTATCATATTAGTAAATCAATTGTATACTGGGTGTGGTAAAACTAATTATATGATTGCTGTTGATTTGCCTATCTAAACTTGCATCAAAGAATAATATGGGATATGAGTATATGACTGACCTATGACCCTAATATTACAAGGCTTAAAACTCTTAAGTGGTAAAGTTCTTCTTTGATGTGGGCTTGGTTTAGCCCAATGAAGAGTTTCATGATATCCTAGCAAGTTATATATGCTCCTAGCCATTATAGAAGTCCCAAGTCCCAATAGGAAGAGTAGAGATTTTGCAGTGTGCGATTCCTACAGGCGTGGATACCTTACATCGTACCATTGTTTTCGCAAAAAGAATATATTATATAAATGTAAAGAATATATAACTGTAGAGAAAAGAACATACTATTATAATGTAAAGAACATATACCTAAAGTAAAAAAAAAAAACATATTTGCACCTAAAAAGAGTGAATAGAACATATGTCCATGTTCTTTGATTGTTAGTGTAATGAACTTTTATTTGTGATATAATGTTCATTGCTTATTGTGAAATGTTCGTTGAATTTTGTCTTAAAATTATGGTAGAGATATATATATAAATGATGTTCATTACATAATATCTTCATGTTTTTTTCATTTTTTTTTTACAAAGTAATATCTTCATGCTCTTTATTAATATTATATTACAGATATTCTTTAGATATACAAAAAAAAAAAAAAACATAAAATTGGATTTTTTTTTTACAAAACTGATATATGCTCTTTAAAAAACAATAGTATGATCGATACAAAACAGCTACATGTTCTTTCCACACTTTTTGTTTGTACCATGCAAGGTACAGGCTGCTGTACCTTAGAATTTTCAGATATTTTGAAGATTAGTTTGGAAGTAAAGACCAACAAAACTGACCTTATGTTAGTACTCCCTCCGTATTTAATTTAAATAAATGAAACGTTTTGCCTTTTACGGAGTTTTAGAAAGTTAGATGAATCTATTTAAATAATAGGTAGTAGGGTATAAGTTTGAAAAGATAGAAAAAAGGAAGAAGTTTTGTAGGACCATTAATTAGTACGGAGTAGAATATTATTATAAAAAAAAGAAGAATATTATTAAAAAAAATAAAGAGGAGTTACTAAAGAAAGAAACTATATTTAAACATGTTTGAAAGTGGAAAACGTTTTGTTTATTTAAACACGGAAGGAGTAGTTCAAAAGTACAGAAGAAGGTTCAATGAAGGTGAAAATAAAAGGAAAGGTAATTGTCCATACTGTCCTAATCCAATACTTAATTTGAATGATACCGTAAGCTTATACTTCCTATAATAGAGATTTATAGTCTATAATACTCTCTAGGAAATTTTGTGTAGAATTACCCAAAAGATAGGATCATTTGTGAATGACTAACCTTTAACATAGATTTATAGTCTATAATACTCGGCCCCTTAACATAGATTAAGTCTTGGCGTATACCACCTATTGATTTCAGCGCATATAGGATGACAATTTTGCAATTAAAAAGTACTATCCAGATAACTTATATTTTAGTGGTACATTATACATGTATAATGGTATATAATGATACATTATAATGTACCCTAGAGAGGTTAGCTTTTTCTAGAAGTTGAAACTTATAGGATGGTAAAAAGTACCACTATACTCGTAATAGTCCTCAAAAAGTATTATTCGGACAACTTATACTTTAGTGGTACATTATACATGCATAATGGTACATTATAACATACTATTAGAGAATCAACTTTTTCTAAAAGCAAAAATTAAATCAGCGGAAATCACTTCCTTACCCTCCTATTTACATAGCTCGCCCAGACTCACTCCTTATGTTAACATAACCCCACAACTCCACAAGGCCACAACCACAGGCCATAGGATACGGGGCTCTGGGAAACAGATAGATAACAAAGCGACCTCCTTTTTTTATTTTATTTTTTTTGAATATCACAAAGCGACCTTGCTAAGCTAACACAAAGGTGCTGCAATGGCTTCCACTTCCTCGTCTTTCCCCCACTTCGTAAGCCTTCTCTATCCCTCTTTCTCTCTCCATTGATTTACTGCTTTTAATTTCTGATACTCATTTTCTCAACAGAATTTCTCTTTCAAATTCTGCTCCAACAACTCTTCAGCAAGCCGTTCAACTGTAAAAATACATTCTAATTCCAAGGCAAGTTGTCATTTTTCATCATTTTCACTACTTTAATCGCATAATTACTTGCTTTCTTATTAAATTATTATCTCAGTATTTGAAATTGGGCTCTGTAATTTGTGGGTGTAAATTATAGTGTTCTGGGTATTAACATGTGTTCTGGGTATTGATTAGAATTTAGGCTTTTTTATTGGTACTATTACACTTGTTTTGTAGTCAATTGTACCAAAAACACTCTAATTAGTACCGATACGAGTCGATTTTTAGACTTCTTATGTGACATTTTGGGTGTATAGAATAATAAGCATTATAATCTGTCAAGTACGAATTTAACCATGTGTAACAACAATTCAGTCTTTGAGGCTTGTGACATTAGCAAGATTGGAAATGTGGTTTTAGGCTTTTAGCTTAGGTTGTTGATACTCCTCAATGAACTTAAAATAATACATACAATAGTACCCATGTTCTATGTATATTGGCTGTACAACTACTCGTACTCGTGAAAATTTTAAGATTGAACTTTTTTTTTTTGGAAGAATTTTAAGATTGAATTTAATTCGAATACTAAACGAGCCAAACTCCAACTCAATGATTGTTAGAGATATGAGATATTTATATTGGAAAATATATGTTTAACATAAATAAACCTAATTATATTATTCTCTGAATGATATCTACGGAAAATATATTTTTCGATATCTCATATCTCTAACAATGATCCACCTGAACTCGTTGATCCTAATAACAATGATACATGCTTTATGACATAAATAGCGGAAATGGCTGGTTTTGATGTAGCCATTCTTCCACGGCCTTGGCAAAGTAACTTCTTGGTTAGTAAAGTGGTTTTATATTAGCATTTTTAGGGGAATGCAGCTTCCCTGAGCCCCTGATGGTGTTACCTGTATGTGAATCAAATTTAAAGTTTGCTGAAATATGTCAAGAGTATTAAGTAGAGTTCCGTGCAAGTGAACTATATTGATTTACATGTATCCTTGACCTCAAGTGTAACTTGCAACAGGCTTTTTTATAATTGCAGATGCTTTATCTATCTTTAGGCTTATTAAAGCTTAAGAGAGTTTAAAATCATGGACTAGTTTGCTGAAACAAGTCTAATAACTTATTCAGATAATGCAGTGAGAAACTGCATGATTAAAGGAGAACAATATTTGGCGTAGAACTTAGGTTTAAGACTGTTAGATGGAGACAAAGTAAAGCTGTTATTTTCGATTATTGATGCAGTCCTTCCTTTTATTTCATCCAGAAGCTCAAAGTTACTTATCTGTTATTATCTTGCAGGAAAGTATCATCCTTGAGCAAGAGAGTAAGCAAGTTGAGTTCAAACATGGAGAAGTACGGACAACAACAAACAATGACTCGATGGTTTACCATCCTCGTATGGGTCACCAGCAAAAGCTGCCCCCACTAGTTACTGCCTTAGAAGATGCTGCTGCAGAGGATGCTGCAAGTTTTCATTTTCCTGGACACAACAGAGGCAGAGCAGCTCCATCCTCATTGACTAAGCTCATCGGTCAAAGACCCTTCCTTCATGACTTACCTGAACTACCTGAGCTTGACAATCTATTTGCTCCGGAAGGTCCTATTCTAGAAGCACAGAAGCAAGCGGCTGAAATCTTTGGGGCATCAGAGACTTGGTTTCTTGTTGGAGGTACAACCTGTGGAATTCAAGCAGCTATCATGGCTACCTGCAGCCCTGGAGATACACTGATTCTTCCTCGGAATTCCCACATTTCTGCAATATCTGCAATGGTCTTAAGTGGAGTGGTACCGAAGTATATATTTCCTTACTATGATTGTGATTGGGACATTGCTTCCGCGGTTTCTCCATCAGAGGCAAGTTCAAACTGGTGCTAGGAACTTTCCTGGTAGGATTTGAAGTAGTTCAACTGCATCTTTCTTTTTTTAAAGGTTGATTATTTTTTAACAAGATGCTGTTTTTATGACAGGTTGAGAAAGCAATCAAGGAATTGGAATTGGAAGGTCAAAAACCAGCAGCTGTATTTGTCACTTCCCCTACTTATCATGGGATATGTAGCAAATTAAAGGAGATCTCTGATCTGTGTCATTCACGGGATATTCCTCTGATTGTAGATGAGGCTCATGGAGCCCACTTTGGTTTTCACCCACAGCTTCCTCTTTCAGCCCTCCAACAAGGGGCTGATCTGGCTGTTCAATCCACTCATAAAGTGTTGTGCTCTCTTACTCAGTCATCAATGTTACATCTATCTGGAAAACTTGTTGATAGGGAAAAACTCTGCAGATGCCTTCAGACCCTTCAGAGTACTAGCCCAAGTTACCTGCTTTTAGCCTCACTGGATGCCGCTGCAGCTCAACTAAGAGAGAACCCATCAACGGTTTTTGACAATGCAATCCATCTGGCAATCGAGGCCAGAAAAACGATGGAACAGATCCCAGGCATCTCGGTCCTTAAATTTCCTAATTATGCTGAGTTTCCTGCCATTGATCCATTACGGTTGACTCTTGGCTTCTATGACCTTGGTCTCAGTGGCTATGAAGCTGATGACTTCTTGTTCAAGGATCAAAGAATAATTTCTGAGCTCACCGGGTCTCATTCCATTACATTTCCATTTACTCCAGGAACTTGTAATGAGCATGTCAACAGGCTAGTCTTAGGGGTCAAGAATTTATCATCATCTTCCCTCTTGCGTTGGAGGAAGAAGCAGGGAATGAAGCACACTGATCTGAAGCCCTATAATGATATCATAATGCAATTGAATCCACGTGAAGCCTTCTTTGCCAAGAAAACACGGGTGAATATCAAGGACACTGTTGGAAAGATATGTGGAGAGTTGATATGCCCGTATCCACCTGGTATTCCAATAATGATTCCTGGTGAACTGGTCACGGAAGGATCTTTAAATCTCCTACTGCAAGCTAAAACTTTAGGCGCTACATTAAGTGGAGCTTCTGATCCTGGTCTTACATCAATGGTTATCTGTGATGTTTAAAGCAGGCCTTGACTCACTTCTCAGATGCAAAGTTAAGTAAAATATTCTACTGTTACGGTAGACAAAGTTCAGTTCAAATTGAGTTATTGTAGCGTCTTCTGCAAAATAGAAAGCTATGCATAGTTGTACAAAGAGAAGTTATGTGGTGCACTGGAGCAACTGGATGGAACTTACAGCTCGAGAAGCAATTTGAGTCCCTGTCGTTATCAGCTGTGTAGATTATAGACAAAGTATACATTAGTTAATGGCATGTAGCAGGGTTACATCAAAGTGACCTAGATGATCTGGTATGGTAATGTCGCTTACTGATTACAGGACCTATTTGGACAAGCATCTGCACACTCTCCGTCAGGGACAGTCATATTGGCTCTAAATGTCAAATGTAGTAATCACAGCTCAGAGCTGATTTTTCAAGTTGTGTTGATTTACAAGATTCTTTGAATCCTTGCTAAAGTTCTCTCAATGCTGCATAGTTCTATAGAGTTGGTTTTGTGCACAAGATGCATACGAATCTTCTCTTAGATCTTTCCCTTAGCTAGACTTGACCAAAACCAATTTGTATCCATTTACAGACGTAAACTAAACTGTACCTAAATTCGAAATGTAAATTTGGAAGTTCATGCCTTGATGTTGTCTTGAGCCAATCTTGGCCATGTGACCTACATTGTCTTTATAGTAAAAGTTTTGAATACTCCTCATTTTTCTTGGCAGTTTTTTCTGTTACCTTGATTATATTGAAATAGAAACTCCCTTCTCTGTTTTTGTCATAAAAAAAATCTGTCTCAGCTCTCTTGTAAGAATTACTCTAGTCCATAAGTGGTTGTAGTTGCTTACAGTCAATTTTAACATCTTATAAACTTATTCATGTCAGTTTCCGGTTAATCTGAGTATGCAAGATAGCCGACAGCAATCTGAAAACAAATCAAAAAAAAATATTTACATTTTCATATCTACATTCCTTTATACTTGTACATTTAGTATTTTACAAACCCCTTCTCCCGAGAAAAAAAAACATTCCATTTCCACCGTTAGTTCTAATACAAATATTACTATACATGAGAGGAACAAAGTGACAGAAAAATTTTGAATTCTGTTTAGCATTTCATGTCTATTATACACTCGTGACTTGAGAAGCAGCAAGTTTTAAAAATATTCATTGGACTTAAGTTCATTGCTGCTCTGAGGATACAGATTCTACAACTGGGGCAGAACAAAATATTCTCTTGAGCTGGAAAAAAGAATGGAATGTAGACAAGAAGTCTACATCCCAGACAGTTGTTTTTTTGTACCTATCACACCACTCTGCATATCTTTGTCTAGGAGTGTTTCTAGTGACCTAGAATATCTTCTTCTCGCTTTCCCTGCTTCTTTCAGTAATTCTGCCAACCTCCGCTTTTCCTCATCCACAATAGGATCAGCTGTTCCGAGCTTCTCTTCTCTCATCACCACCACGAATTCTAATAGCTCAATTGCATCATCACATCTGTTTTACATCCAGGAAAATGTCAGAGAAATTACATATTGAAGTTTAATTCAAATGTAGATAGAAGCTATTAATGAAAAGAATGTTTTGAAAAAAAAAAAAAAAAAAAAAAAATTAATTCCCTTAGAGATGAGAAAGCCATTATCATACTTCTTTTTGTGGTGCTTTATTAACTAGAATCCTTGAAAATATAATGGTAGTTACCTGCTGCTTCAATCCTATAGTTTAACAATACGTCTACTACGAGTCTGTGAACCATATATATAATGGCTGATAACTTGTTTCATTCTTGCTGATTCTAGTGTCAGCATAATTGAAATGTCATTTTTAGATGGAAACTTCAATGGCATTAGAGAATGATTGCCAAGGTGAAACTACTTTTACAATGACAGAACACTAAAGTGAAGAAATACAGGTTACTAAAGCGAAATTTGTCTTACCTATGGGCTCTAGCAACTACAATGGAAATTTTCCCGAATAAATCTAAAAATAAAAACCAATGTTGTATAGTATGCAGGAGAGGGAGGATCGATACATACCTACCAAGGGCATCATAAGTGCCTGCAAGATTACTGTAAACCCCTAGAGTATCAGGGTGAAACAATCCATATTCTTGCTCTAAAATACTCATGGCTTTGTCGAAGAGCTCAGCAGCCTCAGAAATTAGACTGAGCTGTACACAGGTAAGGCCTAGTTGATTCAAAGTGATCGCGTAAAGGGAAGACTTCTTTTCCCCTGAATCCTCAAACTTCAAAACAGAACTTTTAAGGAAATTATATGAATCGGAGTAATTCCCTAGCATATAATTTAACACCCCCATTTGAGCTTCAATTCCTGCAATCTTGCTCTTCTGTGATGCCTCATCACTGTGTAGTTCTAGTGCCTTTTTCAGTAGTTTAATGGACATATCAAGCTCATTCATTGACTCATATATAGCAGAAAGATCCGTCAAACCATTTGCAATATCCTCCACATCGGTTCCCTTGGGTGGTGGCTTAGAATATATCTCAAGGGCTCTTTCACAATATGATACTGACTCACTGAATTTCCCTATCTTACAGTAAAGCTCTCCCAAACGAACAAAGACTGAAGCAACTGTTGGATGGCTCTTGCCTTTGCTAGACGCGAAAGCATTAAGTGCTTTTTTGTAAGTGAAAATTGCATCATCATATCGAGCCAAGGCTAAATATGCATCTCCAATGTTACAGTCAACAGCTGCAACATCTGATTCCTGCCCATTGCAATGCATAGCCATGCTTGCTAATACATAATGTTCTAGGGCAGCTTCATAGTCGCCCTTTGAATCACAAATTAAGCCCATCAATCTTCTGTCTGCAGCTTCTTTGATTGAAGGGGGACAGCCATTTTCTTTATGGATATCCAGAGCCAGTTTACAAAGCTTCCCGGCCTCATCAAATTCAAGTATTTGAAGATAAGCCTCTGCCACATACCGACAAGTCTCTCCAAACCGGGGGTCCTTAACTCCAAGAACAGTTCTCTGAATCTCTAAACCAACTTTATAGAGATTAATTGCCTCCTCTATTTGACCCATCATTGCATAAACGTCACCCAACTGCATACACCCCACAAATTTAGCAAGGGCATAGCTTTGGCCTAGCTCAATGTTAGGAATTTCTATGGATTGTTCTAGAAGAGGAATGGCTTCCTTGTGTTTTCCTGCAGCACAATGCATTGAAGCCAACATTTGCAAACAACTTACATAATCCAAACTCGGCCTCTTATCAGAACTAGCACAACTTTCAAATGATTTCTTTGCTCGAAGGGCAAACTCAAATGCCCTTTTCGGGTTGTCTCCCAATGTATTTATATCCCGAGCTTTCTTCAGTAAATATGGCCCTAAATCCGGGTTGTCAATTCCTTTCTCCACATCTCCTCGACCAGTTCCATTATGATTCTTAAAAAACTTATCTTCACCTGAAGAGCCTGATATCGATCTTCTTGAGGCATTCCTCTTGCCACTAGGAGGCTTCTCACTAATTATTTCAACATCATTATCCTTCCACTCCACTTTCCTTCCCTTATTAGCCTTCTTCGGCTTCTTCTTCTTCTTCACACTTTGTGGTGTTTTATCATGTTGCTCTTCCACAACAACCTCCTTTATATCCTCCTCAGTATCCACAACATTATCAGCTCCCACAAGATGTCGAAGCTCAGAATCAATCCTCGATTCATTACCATAGCTTGTCACGCTATGAGTTGATTGGGATTCATCAGAGCTCTCCATATCACAGATATTTTGATACAACTGTTCTATTGAGTTGTCAACAACATTAAGAATTGCTAGATCAATTGAACCAATACTAGCAGAACCAGGACTCAGAGGACTTATTGGTGATGCATGTTGGTTCTTATGGCTTCTTTTGAAGTTATATAAGCTCCCATTGTGGCTCGAATTCTTCTCTATATCATCATTCATATCCGATCCAGGCATTCCTATTTCGAAAAATCGTGTCAATTCACATTCTAATATACAATGTGCAATTAAATTCAAGAAATACCAAAACACTTACCTTAAAAATGAAAATTCTACCCACATTTTGTTCCTAAATGAAGGTCTTGTTTTACTCAATAGTCATAATCCATATCAAAATCTCATTTAGTTTATTCATTCACTAATAATTTATCAAACATGGTTTTTATATCATTCATTTTTAATCAATCAAACCTCACTTTAATTAAAAATTTAATTTGCCTTTCTTTCAAAAAAAAAAAATAATTTGCCTTTAACCAACCAAACCCACTAATTTCATATCTTATACACCTTTCATAAATGTTTACAAAAGACAAATGAAATTTTATTAGATATCAAAGGAAGTACAACATTTCTCTTTTCTCCTTTCAAAATAGAAAATCAATGAAACAGAGCATATACAGAGTTCTATTATGCAAAATCCAAAATTACAAATTTCTGTCCACCAACACTTAAAAAAACACGAATTCCACAATGGAAAAGTCCTAAAAACATATGGAAATGTATATAATTTATTTAAACAAACAATGAACCAACACAAATTCAATAAAAATCTACAAATATAAAACAAACAACAAAAAATCATATACATTATGCAAAAATAACAAAAACACCCACATTGCTTACAAAAACATGAAAATAAAAACAATTACACACCTTAATTAATAAGAAATCTTCCAAAAGCTTCCCTCGAATGCAAGAATGAATCTTTTTTCTGACCCAGAAAAAAAAATTAATTTGAAGAGGAAATGTAGGTATGAAAATGAACCAAAAAAATGTAAAATTTTGAAAATAGAAATATAATGGGTAATTTATATTGCTAATAATATTATTTAAAAAGAGGTTAGCAGAAGAAAGGGATGGAAGGGTAATTAAATTTTGAAGCAAAACAAAGAAGGTGACCTTTCTCCCACCACCATTTGCAATTTTTTTTTTTTTTTTGGTTAATTTAATTTTCTATTTTGAAGGAAATAATTAAAATGAATATTTTGGGTGGTTTGCTTAGATTACAGGTTGGCGCGAATAACGAAATTGTAAGTGTGGGAAAATGGAAGGACATTCATTCTTGTTGAGTGTGAGAGTTTCAAAGTCTCTGTATGTGCGCTTGTATGCACATGGACGGACATTACTTGTAGATTTTATCATCTCTTTGAGGTTTGTTTTGCTATGTTTTCGGTTCGCCCATGTGTCATCCACTTGGATTTGCTTCGTCTTGGGACTTGTGAGCTCGAGGTGAATGAATATTTAATGCAAAAATTCCAGAAGATAGAAGAGTAGTCTCTTAAAATTTGGCCCACAATTATTTTTAGGGGTTGTTTGGTTAGTGTATTTTTTGGTTTGAAGGTATGGTAACAATTACTTCTTCCGTGTTTTTTAAGTGTTAAAGTTTGATCGGTACATAGTTTTAAAATATCGTTATTGTGTGTTTGGTTTGAAGGTATGGTAACAATTACTCCTTCCATGTTTTTTTAAGTGTTACAGTTTGATCGGTACATAGTTTTAGGAAATTTAATTGACTTAAATAAAATAAAAGGTAAGTGGGGTAGTTCAAGTATTAAAAAATTGTAAAATAAAATATAGTGGAGTTAATAGTTTATTGAAAAGTAATGAATGTGAAAGGAGAGATATAATAAATTAAAAAAAAAAGTAGTAGTGGGTTTGGGTGGGGAACATAAGAGAAGAGAGATATAATATTTTAATGTAGTTTTTTACCAAAAAAAATGTATAACACTTGAACATGCCAATAATTCATAAAAGCCGGTGTGAGTTGGAGGAAAACTTACATAGATCAGGAATATGGATGAAAAGAGCTTTGATTTGCAACAAATTAAGCGAATTCGGTTGAGAAACGAATGAGCAACGATCATTTGAAGTTTCGACTTCTTTCGAGCAGCGTTCGCAACAAACCAGAGCACGAAATGAACTGAAAACGGGAATTTAAAGTGATTCCCGTGCTGGCGCCAGTCCCTAGGCATTGGCGTCACATTCTGTGCTTGGCGCCAGACGCCAATTTCAGCGCATGGCGCTAATGCCTTTCAGCGACGCCAAAGCAGCCAGCCACCTTTTGGGGTTGTGCTAGCCTTCTGCAATATATTCTGGGTTCCTTGGTACGCCAGTTAGCCCCTCTAAGAAATTTGACATGATTAGGTAATCGGCTTGATTACATAAAGTGATCGACCTAATGAAAAGATCGTCTCACTAAGCTTAAAAGCGCCTAAGCATTGGCTCATTAGCAAAAAGCATCGACAAACAGGTTCATTAGCAAAAGGCACCGACATATAGGTTCAAGAGCAAAGAGCGCCGACGTACAGGCATAGCAAAAGGCAAGTTCAAGCGAACTTTTATAGATCGACGGGCGTGGATCTTTGGTATTTTCCTTTGGGAGATTATCGCATCAAATGAGGATGACTTCAAGAGAAGATGTCTTCGACATCATTCCCTAGCTTGCGGAAAGTTATCACAAACAATTGAAGGTAATTTCAGGCGAAATTTTCTTCGATCATAGTTCCTGAGGCATGGAAGATGATCATAATGCGGATGAAAATTATTTCAAGAGAAATAATTTTCGATGATATTCCCTTGGACGTGGAATATTATCACAGCGGAGAGGATAGTTTCAGGCGAAGCAATCTTCTAATTTGGAAGCAGTTACAAGGTGTAGCGGTTTTCAAGCGGGATGGCATTCTCTAGCTTGCAGGAGGTTATCAAAACAAATCGGTTACTTTCAGAGACGTGTGCTCGACGGTGCAAGATACGCGTTTCTTAACTCTTCTATCTGTTTAACTAATGCTAGTTTTGCAGGTATCGACATTATAAGATTGATTTAGGATCGCATAACGTTGTGAATCATTCTCCGTCCCTATCGATACTTTGACTTTCGTTTTCAAAACTTGCGTTTCTCCAAACTCAGTTAAAGTGGGGGCTTCTGTAGACACCCATTTGTGTCTCCCCAAAACCAAACCCGGTGATGAGTACCTTTCACGTCGAATTATAATCGAATGAAACGAAAGTGTGGAAAGGTCTAATGTTGCGGAAAGTTTTATTTCTTTTCTTTTCTCTTCTCCCTGTTTTTGAAAACTTTATTTTAAGAAAACAGCCAATCCAGTTTGGTTGGCCATGATATGGGTCCAATAGTGGTGTAGTTGGATGGGGCTTGCAATGATCTTTCGAACGATATATTATAAGCCCAATTCCGATGAATATTGAGGAATTTATGGCCAATTTACTAAACTGGGCCCGGTTTGAGTTTTAAGTACGGCCCAATGATCTAAGGGAGGGCCTAATATGATTTATCATTCCTAATGTAATTAGGAATGGTTTTGGTCTTCTAGAACATTATAGAAGGTTTTATCATTCTTAATTCAATTAGGATTCTTCAGTGTTTTAATTAGATCAAATAACATTTTCGACTGAAATTATATTATTTTATCTTCCAGTACATTATCGGATTTTCGAAAACGCGTTAAAATCCGGTTTGGCGTCCAACCCCAGGCCTTGGCGCCTGGAATCAGGATTGGCGTTAGACGCCATCCATTGGCGCCTGGCGCTAGCCACTGGTCCTAGCGCCAATGAGCCAGGGCTGGCGCCAAATTAGTTTTTCGATCTTCAGACTCTGTTTTGATAAATTATCTTTTTTGGATGTTTTTCTCTATAAATATCGTATCAAAAACTCCGTTTTCATTCACGGATTATCAATATTTATTCATCATCTTCATCTATCGTTCACCAATTTTTTTTATTCTCAAGTTTTAATAAACTCCGTTTTCAATCCTCTTCATTCATCTTCAACATTCATACATTCTTTCTGAACTTTGCTCTTTAATACAAAATTCCGCATTCACAAGATCTTGATACACCTATCCATATTCGAAGTTGCCTTCGCCCTAGACGTGAAAGGTTTTAATTTCTGAGGGTTTGGTCCCAAATCTCTCTTTCAATTATTTAATTTAATCGCTTTGTTTATTTTTTTCCTTGAAGTTACTAACGTGTGTATTTTGTAATTAGAAAGAGGTACGAGGCATCCAAGTAAGTACTTTAATGGTTTAATTGATTTATAATGTAGATATCATGCTTAGATTGTTATTTATGATTCCTAGTATCATGTCTAGGGTATCTTTAATATTAAGTATGATTTAAAGTATGATGCTTCCTATGTTCTTTCTAATGTTTATGATTATTTATGATTTATTATTATTGTTTATTATGTTGCTTGATATGCATGTTATTTCGTATTGTTATTGCTTGATCACCTTTATTGCAGGTTAAAGGGAATTTGTATTTCCAATCACGCTTAATAAGATAATTAATAATCTTGTTAGGTTAATTGTGATTATAATTCAAGTGATCGCTAATAATAGTTTATTTCTGCATTAATGTTCAACCAACATAGATTAAACAGGTTTAGGGTTGATCCTATTGATTGTATGTTAGTCAAAAAGCGCACATGAATACGAGCAGAATAAAGTAGAGGCCTATTATTAGGGCAGGTTCAGTCTCTTTTAGGTTGGATTTGTACCATCATCCCCGAACCCTTATTTGGTTCATGACCTTATGGAGTTGACGATCTCTTGGATCGTTAAGGGGTGTAACCTTCACCTCGTGAACGGTTTACAAGTTCCTTAAAAACTTGTTGGCGACTCTTTTGCTCTATCTTCTTCCCTTTTGGACGCCACCGTACTTTAGTGTATGATCACAGTGGGGTTCAAGCTAGTGGGATTTTTAAAGGCTTGAAAATTTTCCCTACAATTGGTGTGAGTTTTGAGTGGTTATATTACACATTGATGAAGTGTTTTGTTGTTAGTTACCCTTTATAATGGTTATCACTTATCAACAAGTAAATTTTTTTTATTTTCCCTCTATAATCATTAAACGCCCAATGCAAGGAGTCAAGAGTTGGTTCATACTGAATTTCCAGCACCCAAACTTTAAAGGTTAAAATCTGAAAACCCATTGTCCTCGTTCTACACATATGATTTAGTTACCTCAATTTAATCTTTCTCTAATTGCATTCATAAATATTAAAGCACTACAATTCACTTTAATGGATACTCCACCAAAAGTATTGATGAGCAATTTCGTGTCTATGTTCTCAGCTTGCTTTAATATATGTATGTATTTTTTCTGCATTTTCAATTTCCTAAAGGTTTTGAATTTACAGTCAAGTAGAGCATATTTCCCCCCATTTTCTGAACTTAACCCCCCCCCCGTTTTTTTCTTTTTAATCAGTGTGATTATCCAATCTTTTGTGTACTTCTGTATTATTAAGTCCAAAGTATTATTTTCTAATTTCTTTGAAAGACCTAATAAAGACAAAGACATACTTTCCTTATCTCTAGAAGTTCTTCCAGTTTTGACTTCTGATTGTGTGACAATCACTGTCCAAGTAAGAAGAACCTTTAGAGACAAAGGGAATATCTTATTGGGACTATTATGGGTTGATGAATGAACTTATAATTCTTCATGTCAATGGTATTTCTTATTGAAATCATTGTGGTCCTGAGTGGTAAAAAAATTTAGCAGCAAACTTGTTAGAGAATATGTTTCATTTCCAAATATGCTTTTTACATCTTGTCCAACGTCTAGCAATTGGTTCTGCGCGGTAACTGCCATGTATTTCATTCAGCACTAATAAAGAGATCAAGATTGATAATGCTGGGCCTAATGGACACCTATTGCATCTGTAAATATATTGTTTAAGCTGTAAACACGTTCAATTTGCTCATGCTTTACTTAAGATCATAATGGCCAGATTCGTTAATGTTAAATGTATGATCATTAGGATCTGGTACAGTCTTGTGCTATTTTGATCTTAAAGGGGCTCTTTTTAAAATCATTTGCTTTTTATGCAGTTGCCAAAATTTTGTTTCTGGATTTTCCTGCTTGAATTGGCTTTTCATATTTCGACACTACATCTGATTTGCTATCTCATGGAGACAAAAGAACAGGTATTACTCTGTCTTTAACATATACGACGTGGAATTTTATATTTTTTAAAAATAGAATCATTTATGGTTATACACTGTTCTTTCTATGTATTTCAGCTTAGGAATCCTTGAAGTTTCTGCTGGAGTGGATCAAACGGTTCCTACACTATAAGCGGAGAGAATTTACATTTTAGGAGAGAGCTATGGAGGTATTCCTTAAATTAGGGCTTATTTGCACCGTTATTGTTGAATTCGGTTTGGAATTTTGTTTATTATTATGTATTCTTTTGTTAAATCAACTTAAGCAACTTCTGAACTTCTCTCTCCATTGAAGCAGCTTGACAGGTAATTTGTTGATTCTCCGATGCCGTTATCTCTGATCTCCGGGTATAATTTTCTCTCCTTTCACTTTTGTGCTCTAATTTTAATTAGTATTATTAATTTGGTTGGGGGGGGGGGGGTGGTTGATTGATCTGAGTTTAGTGTGATTATGACTAATTTTATAGTTGTAATAAGATTGAGTTAGTGATGCTTGTGTTATTTTAGATTTCTTTCTTACATTCAATAGTATTGATAATTAGTGGCCTATTTTAAATTCGGTTGAAAATTTGCTATTTTTTTTATTACCTTTTGTTCTTCTGACATTGGGTTATTGTTCTAGAAAATAGGAATATACATGTCAATGAATAAGTGAAATGTTAAAGTTTGAATCTATTTGATTGTTGTGTTTGTAGGATTTTGTATAGTTTGTATGCAAATGGCTTTTAAATTTTTTATGCACAGTTGCTCAAATCTGTCAGCCCAGCCCTGATACAACTGAGTTGTAGTTCTCAGTGTCTCGCCTGCTCGCCCTGCTTCGTTGAGTTCTAGGGGAAAAAGAGGAGGAGATCGAGAAGATCAAAGATAATCTCAGAGAAGTTCTCAAGCACTCTGTGCTTTTAGAGCTCCGAACTTCATAAGTATCTTGAACTCTTTGAGTGACTTCTTGCTTTTATGCGAAATAGAAATGTTACCAGAAACCTAATTTTAATAATTGTGATCCCGCCTAGACGATTTTTTGGCTAATCAATGTATTTGAGATCCAATGTATTGATCATTCTTTATATTCATTTGTGGTTGTTGGATTAATGTTAATTTGTTTTCTATTGTGCAACTTAACAATGATAAGAGCCCTTTTCAGAGAACATTTGTGATTCAGGTACCTTTTAAATGCCTAGGTAGCTTTTTTGTTTTTGTGTATGTACTTTAGAAGGCTTCTTTTAAGTAATGCTCAAGCGGCTAAGCTTATGAAAAGATGCAAGAAGCAAGGAGCTGTCTACTTGGGGGGACTTTTCCTTTTAAGCTTATTCTAGGCATTGATAGTTGAAAATGAATTCAAATTTGTCATCCCCACTTCTCTAATTATCATTTGTGGCTATGTGTTACATAGTATGTTTATATACCCTTGTTTTATGATTTACAAACCTCCTTTATTATATTTACTTATTTATTTTCTATTGCGAAGAAGGGAAGGAATAAGATAACAAGGTATAGTGCTGAGAGGACCATCCCAAAATTTCATTGGCTAGGCCTATAGCAAAAAAAAAAAAAAAAAAAAAAAAAAAAAAAAAAAAAAAAAAAAAAAAATTAACGATTGCAATGTGTATTTGATTAAGAAATCTAATCCTAGAGTAAAAAAGAACATATTTTATTTCAATTTTATATAATATATTTGTGTAAATATCTTTTAGAATAGGGATTATCCTCATTTCAGTTTCCTAAAATTTTCTTTATTTGTCTGCTATATGCATGCCTTGAGAGGCTGAGATTCATACCCTATGACTGACTAACATAGATTTCAGGCTACTGTTCTTTCAAATTTCTAATATAGACACAAATGGTATTTCATATGATTGAATTATGATTGCACGTGAAGCAATGTGCAAAGATGTCAAGATAAATAGGCAAAACGAGGTTAGATGTAATGTTACTACATTCCTAGATAAGTCACACAATCACACTTGGTTTGGAGATTAAGGACATTTTGTTCATCGTGAATTAAATTTTTAGAAATGGGTGTAGACTATAGAAACAAACGAAAGGGATAAAGCACATAGAAGGTTGATGATATAGGGCGAGAAGAGGAGAAAATAGAAGTGTGACTGTGTGAAGATTATATTGGGTCTTACATATTAAATCAAATATTACAAGTATCCTTATTAAGCTTAAAGAAAGAATTTATAGACTTGCATATTTCAGAACATTTAGACTAATATGAATGCTATAATAATTAACTTTGTTTTTTCCTTCATTGTTTCATGAAGATGGTTGGGCTTTATAGTTACTTTGATGCATGTCCTTAACAATAAAATTAAAGCTATAGAAAAATGAAGTTAATTACTTCTATCTTTATTCATGTTGAGATAATTTTTAGTATAGTCATGCGCAGGAAATCTTTGGAGTGCCAAGATGCTTCTCTGGCTCTTTATAAATTCCTATCCCCTTTTTTATTTTTTTTCCCAATTCTAGAATAATGATGTTAGTGGGTTTTATGGATTGGTTTTGGGTTTATTTCTTAAGATATACTGCTTTGGTAAAACCTCTCATCTTCTTATGCTTTGCTTTATACAGTACATTTATATTTAGATTAGAGAAATTGGCAGCACATTATTCTTTTCAGCAAACATGATAGATAATGAACTTGGTTATTGCTTGTATATGTTAAGCCTTTTTGGTTAGTTATTGACATGCATTTTTTTATGGCTGCTCGCACAGGCTCTCATGGGAAGACCCACAATTTTCTATAGAATGCTTATTGTGTGATTTCTTATAGTGTGCTACAGTTGTCTTTTGGAACATTTAGATGTCTGGATATGCTCTACTTATAATTGTCTTGCAGCTGGTTGTATTAATGTGATTAATATTTTAACCGGAAAATGTATCTATAGTGGTTAACATCAGTATTATCCAAAGAGGAAATTAATATTGGAGGTCGTATAGGATATCGACAAAGAAAGTTCAACAATACAAATTTTTGGTTAGAATGTATGCTTTTTTAAAAAAAAAATTATTTATTTTTTTGTGAATCCACTTGTAGCTCCACCACTTGGCCCTGGTATCCATTCTTTAGTGGATGGGGTTGGTCACTGTTTTCATTTTTTATCTCAGGGCCAAGTGTAGCAGTTGGCATTGGTGGTGGATTTGACCTCCTTGTCTTGTTCATGGTTATTGGAGCGGTTTCAGCTGTTGTTTGGAGGTTACTTAGACCCAGCTGTTGTTTGTAGATGATTATTAGAGCAGAAGATAGCCAACCAAAGGACTCTGTGAAGTTAATGTATTTGTGTCTAACTGATGTTTTGCTACTCAAATAGGCAAATTACATTGTATGTAGGTGTAATTATTCCTGAAATCCGATTATTATCCAAAGATTATAAAATACGAGTATTGTTTTAATTCCACTGTTTTGACTTTTATTGCTTTGAGATGAGCTCCTAAAAGGAGATTATAGACGTACAAATCCATACCTTTTGCAAGGAACTTCCAATGCGCTCATATATTCTTATTTTCGTTTTTCCCTTGCATACATATTTTCCATGCAACTTTTCTTATTTGTAAAAATGCTTATACCTACTTATAACACAAGTAATCCTATTATAATTTTTTTAAAAAAACAAGTAATCCTATTATAAATAGTAATATAAAAACAAAATAGAAGTCATATAAATAAGGATTTGAGAGTCAATTTGGACCTTTGAGGGTTTAGTTTTTAGTCAAAATTTGCATAAAATTAACAAAAATCTTCAGCTTGCATAATAAAAATATCTCATGTGTTGAATAGTTCTACCCATAAAATAAAAGTTAGAGAGGAGGAAATGGGAGTAAGAAGGTAGTGGTGATAAGGATAAGTTTAAATTTTAAATATGCCTTTTGGAATTCCTTGACTTTATAGTATTTTTTAAGAGTAACATTTTAGGGATATTATTACAAAGAAAAGTATTAAAGGTATAGAGTAGCATCCACTGTATGTCTGTATCCACTACATAGGTTAGATGAAACTACTAACCTTATTAATCAAATTTCAAATGCTCTTTCATCTATCAAATTACATGATCAAATTAATAAGATTGATGTGATTAGTTATTTGATATAATCATCTAAGCTACTTAGATGACTAGATGTGATCAACCTAACATATATAGTATGGTTATATCATGTTTCTTAAATGGAATTTTTTTTTTTAATTTGCATCAGGATTACAAAAACTAAGAAGTTTTTCACCAGAGTTCTATTCAACGTATCCTTTCACAGTTTTTATCAAGGCTTATTATATAATTGTCTGATATTATTATTGTAAAACTATTTAAAATTAAGGTTGATTATTGTCTCAATATTTGACTTCAACTTAGGGCCTGTTCTCTTACGTTGAAATTCAATTCAGTTCAGTTCAGCTCAGTTCAGTTCAGTTTAATTTAGTTCAGTTCAGCTCCTAATTTCCTTCTCTTATAAAATAATCATTTCAGTTTAGTTAAGCTCAGTTCAATTCAGTTCAGCTTAGTTCAGTTTAGTTCAGTTCAGCTGATTTCAGTCAATGAGAACAGGCCCTTAATCATAATTTTTTCTTGTAAGCACACCATAAACAAGTAAGATGGAGAGATGAGTCAAAAGAAAACATATACAGTATATTTTGTTATAAATTTATAATCATATATAGTATATTTTGTTTTAAATTTAATCATATATATTTTATTTTTAAAAATTTATAATGTTGTCGTCTTTAAGTAAGATGTTCAAAAGAAGACAACATACAATTCAATAATGACCCTAACACCTTGATTATATGTATATATGTTTAAATTTTGATAAATTAGTATGTTTTGATTAAATATTTAAACAATTACAATAACTAGGGGCACCACCAAAATAACTTAATATTTGTAGCACTACATAGTACACAAGCATTTTACAAGGATCATGCTAGATCCATCAATAAGTGCTCTTTAAAAAAAAAAAATTGTCTGTATAACCATAGTATGTAATTAGCTTTAAAAAGAGATGGGGGATGGAGGGAGATGGGAAGAAAGAATGATAGGGAGAAAAAAAAAAGAAAAGGAGAAGGAGAGTATAAGAGAGGGATGGAGAGAGAAAAGGGAGAAATAGAAGTGAGGGAGAGAGGGGGGAAGGAACCCGGGAAAAGAAGGGTCAAGAGATAGAACCCGGGCGGAAAAAATGACAGAGCGTGTCAGAAGAAAGAGCGAAAGGGAGGACTAGAGAGAGGAGGTCTAGAAGACAGTGAAAGAAAGTAGAGCCATGAGAGAGGAGTTAGGAGAAAAGAGAAAGAGAGTGAGAGTGAGAGTGAGAGAAAAAGAGAAAGAGGGCTAAAAGAGGGAAAGATGAGTCAAAAGAGGAAGCAGTAGCACAAAAATAGATAAAGGGGCCTAGAGAGAGTGGGGAGGTGGGAGAGAAAAAGAAATACGAGGGGCCGAAATTAAGAGAGAGATCGAGAAAAGCTAAGAAAGATAAAGAGGCCAAGGGTAGAAGGAGAGCAAGTGCAATACTTTGTATAATTTTTCAAAGCCTTTTTAAAGATAGAATAAGGACAAGAGAGATTACAAAAGAAAGAGAGATTAAGAGAAAGAGTTTCGGCTAAAAGAAGAAATGAGTGAGACGAAATAAGGAGATAAGGCCAAGGGAAGGGAAATAGAGGACGGGCTGAAAAAGTGATAGAGCAAGTCGAGAGGGAAGGGGAGAGCAAAAGGGAGGACGAGATAGAGGAGGTCCAACAGAGAGAAAAAGAAAGAGGGACTATGAGATAAGAGTAAAGAGAAAAGAGAGAGAGAGACAAGGGCCTAAGAGAGAAAGAAAGAACGAGAAAGAGGACTAAGAGAGGGAAGGAGGGGTCAAAAGAGAAAGAAATAGAACGATAAGAGACAAAGGGGGCCTTGAGAGAAAAAAGAGAGGGGGGGCTAGGAGAGAAAAAGAGAGGTGGAGGCAAAAAGAAAGAGAGATGAAGAAAACTGGGAAAGATAAAGAGGTTGGGAAGAGAAGGAGGATTGAGATGGAGAGAGAAAATGCAACCTTTAATTTTCAAAGCCTTTTTAAATATGGAACATGAACAAAAGAGATTAGAAAAGAAATAAAGATGTGAGAAAAAGATTTTCGGCCAATAATAAAAGGAATGAGTAAAAGGGGAGAAAATGCGGCCTACATATTTCAAAGCCATTAAAAATAAAACATTAATAAAGTGGAAACGAAGAGACAAGACCAAGGGAAGAGAGGGAGAGAGAGAGAGAGAGAGAGAGAGAGAGAGAGAGTATAGTCTCACTTCATTTCAAAACAACTTAACTCATCTCGCTCTCACTTGATTCTTTTCTTTTCTTCCTCATTAACATCTTTTCGTAATCTCTAACTAATACTTTGAACATCATTCATCAACTTTTGCTAGCCATGATCGATTAAGATACCGATCCAACCAATCTAGATGAATGTTGTACTTAATCATTGCCCTGTCTTTGCAACTAATAACCTTGATGTTAGAAGAACACCCTTCAATATTGTCTTCCATGAATAAATTAAAGTCAAGAATGAGAAAAATAGTTGCAATGTACAACTTACACAGATTTTTGTGCTTAATAATGTGCTTAATAATGAACGCTAAAACAGAATTATGTATAGAAATGTTTGTCAATGAAACAAGAGCTAAATAGCATACAAACTTATGTATTTTGTGAAGGGTCTTTCGATTCTCCTAAATTCCTCATCTTCAACTTTAAAAGCAATATATTTTGAAACAGTCAACACATTGATCTATTTGCTAAATGAGTGCCTTCTCATAAACTACATTTTCAAAACAACAATACAATTCTATATCTTTTACATTTAATTCATTTTACATAACCTTAATATTTAATATTACATTTTCTTATTACTACTCCTTTTTATCACAGTCATTTTAAAACAAAGTTATTCGATAATTATTTAGGTAATAAGAAACCGTATTGCGTTTTAAAATAATATCTTAAACAATGGTTTAATTTAATTCAAATCTTTAGATTCTAACAAATTCTAGATAACCTCACTTTTAATAATTGTTTTTTCATAGATATTTCCCCATAGAAAACTTATTACTACTCCTTGTTATCACTTACAAATTCATGTATCCTTGCAATTATAAAACCCGAACGCAATCACGAATATTACAAAACCCAAGTACTACCACGATATTTATATATCTTACCGTCGGGGGGCACGCGCGTAGCGCGTGCTCCAACGACTATTAAAAAAAGTATTCATTCTTTTATGGCGCTAAACAAAGAGGACGGAGTGAGTATGGGTCAATCGCTAACTTAACTCAAAATAAAGCGAATGAATCTAAAGTGACTTGAGTCATAATTTGCTTTCCATAGGATATAGATTGCTAGTTGGCCGGATTCGACTTGGCACAACTGGTGATCACCGGCTTTGGACCCGATTCGACTTGGCACAACTGGGGGTCATGTATGGTTGTTTTGTGGGTCCAAATTTTCCATTCCAACTCATTTGGACCCAAACCACATAACCCGGTACAAACTATCACAACCCACTCAACCGCAAACCCACGACCCGTATGACCCACTGAGCACACAATGGTACAATACACAACTTATTAGCGAAGTATTTATCGTATCAATAATTGTTGCAGGGCTTTTTGTCATGACAGCCTTATCCTCTTTAAAGGCCCAATCATCATTGTCATGATAGATCTTTTTCTTTGATGGTCCAATCCTATTTGTCAAGCGTATTCACCTTTTATGGTTATTTCAATTAGAGCTCAAAACGGAAAGCCATTTTTGCACCCTAACATGCCGTAAATTTTACTGAAGTGAAATTATTTTTGATGAACTGAAATTAAATAAATGACAATACATATAGAGTTATAGACTATTATTGTCTATGCCGTAAATTTTATCTCATGGAAAATTAGGCCTCGTTCACTACATCTTATTTTTTATGAAATGAAATTATTTTTACTGAAAAAAAATTATATTTGCTGAACTTAAATTATATATACTCAACTTAAATTAATTTTACTGAAGTGAAATTATTTTTGATGAACTGAAATTATTTTTACTGATTTTCTATTATAATTCTTCTTTAAGAAAACTGAATTTTACTGAATTGAACTTATTTTTACTGAACCGAATTTATTTTTACTGAACTGAATTTATTTTTACTTAATATTATTTTTTTAAGGTGAAGTGAACCGGGCCTTAGATGTAAAACAATTACTCGATCAATTATAACATATTGTGATACATCAAATATCACCATATTTTTACCATCTTTAGAAAACATAGTTTTGATTTTAACTATTACTCTGTAATACTCTTTTTTCATAAATTAAAATCTTTTTTCATATATTAAATAATTAATAAACAAAAATCAAAGAAAATTTTGAAAAATACCACCAGCAATTATACTTATTTTTTATAAAACCACCAACAATTTAATTTAATCTTTTTTTATTTTTACCACCAACTATTTTTTAAACCTTAAAAAAATACGACCTCTTTCCCAAACCCACTAACATGATGTCACCGTGGGCCCCACTAAGTACTTTCTCCTTAATTTCCCTCCTTTTCCATCTTTATTCTCACAATTCTCTCCCCTGTTCTCCCCATTACTTCCCTCTCTCCTCATTTAACAAACACGTACTGTTGAATTCTCACCATCCAAATTGAATGTGAAACACTACATTCATCACTTCTTTTTTCATTCTCTCTCCTTTTTCTTTCTAATATTAGGGTTTCGGTACTTTTCTCTGTAAAACAATTGCAATGGAGGGACCAAAAGTGCAGCCAAAACAACTTCATTGGTGTGGGGGAGGGGCAAGGGTTTAAATTTTGGTGTTGAAAGTCAGCGAGGGAAAGGACAAAATCGAGGTAATTTTTTTTAACTGATTATAGAAAACCCTAAAACAAATGATTCAAACAAAAAGGAATGAACGGGGAACTATATTTTTACAAGACTTCCAAAAATGCAAAATCGAGTGAATAATCGTGTTATCAGAAATGTATATTCGATTAGGGTTTTTGAAATCAATTTGGGGTTCATTATACTCCAATGACATTGAAACAACTACCACAATAATAATAATAATAATCTCAATATAGATGAAACAACGATAGATGCATATTTGCGATGAGATTTCAGCAGACGTCAGCGCAGCTACAGCCGCGACCTTGAGAAACCCTCCCAGCTCCGTCACATGGATAACGTCCGGGTGTATATGAGTGTAATATGCTTCTATAGCATTTTACAGCTTCTTGTTCGTTAGTTTCCTCTTGGCAACGATTCTTAGTTTTACGCAAATATTTCTTTGCACATTCAATAAAAGCAGCAGAGTTGAATGTAGGGGGTCGATCTTTGCAAACTCCACCTAGCGTGCGCTCAGCCTTGCATTCTTGGTCACATTTGTTGTTGTCGTTGCATTCTCCTTCAAAATTCTTACTTGTCTTGGAGCACACCGTTGCTGTTGAAATTATAAATGTAGAGATGAGAGAGGGGAAATAAGAAGAACTTATTAGTTGCAACTTTAAAATATTTTATCTCCTATAAATATTACCTAAAGTTGTAATTCACTCTTGCAACTAATATGCAACAAAGGTAGTATATTCAATTTAATTTATAAAGTGACTGTAACTAACTCTAAATAGACCAACAATCCTATAATAATGATTGTTATATTTAGAAGACGGTTAAAATTGACATTAGTATTGCCAAATTTGAACTATCTTCTCAATATAATAATGATATCAACTTTTAATTAATATGGAATAATCTTAATCTTTATAGTATCTTCTTAAATTAATTTGATTTTTGTTTTTCTTTTACGCAATTGTCCCAACTTGGAACACCGCCAAAGCATAAAAAAATATATGCTATGTTTGGTCACCTTATTTTTTCTTATCCAATCTGGTATAAACTTATTTTTTCAATTTTGTTCTGAACATTTGATTTGATTGCCTAATGTGAACAAACTTTGAACTTATGTATATGCTAATCTATAAGGAAAAAATATATCAAACGAGGCCTTACTTAATTTTTATATCTGTGTGCTTTGTACTTTTTATAATGTTTTCATTACGAAATTAAAAATATTTAGCACTAAAATCGAATATAGAACAATAAAATAGATATTGCATGAATTTATTTTTTAAAAATCTAATCTTTAACTTATTTTTTATAGATCTAATTTGAAATGTAAGAATTAGAAATAGTCTAAAAGTTCAGATTATTTTGAGGAGGTTGCCCTTAAAGTTGACATTATATGGAATTAAATATAATTGGTATTATTGAAAAGATGAGTAAAAGTTGGGATATTCTTGTCAAATTTTCCTAATATGGAGTATTAATTAAGATTTATATACAACACTGGCTAATTTATAATAAATATTGTTATTACTTGTGAAATTGTATAGCACCAAAAATGTTGAATATGTGTGCCTATAGATCGATTTATGTGATTATTTTTTTTAAAAAAAAAATTGATAAAAATAATCTCAACTTTCACGTAGTCGCTTTAATCAATCTCAACTTGGATCATTTTCAATACAACTAAACTTAGGGTGTCATTCGCTTTTTTGGTCCCACTTGACTGGTAACCTATTATATATGTGGGTATTTTTTTTTTACCAGTTTGACCCCAAGTTGACCTCTTAGCTTTTCAAAAGTCCTTCCCCTTTCCCTTCCCGTCCTCCTCCTCCCTGCACTTAGCCAAAAAATCTACAGTTGTCCCTTCCTTTTCTTTTCCCAACCAACACCTTTCCCTCCTTTGTTTCGCTATCACCTCTCCTCATGTCTCCACTGTTTTGATTGAGGCCTGAGCGGGAGGGAAGGGGAATGGTTTTTTGCGGTGGAGGAAGGGAGGAGGGAGGGTTTCGTTGGTTCGATGGGGAAGGGAGGGTTTCATTGGTTCGGTGGTGGTTGTGTGGGGATAGGGGTGGTTTGAGTGATTAGTGTGGGGAGGGGTACGTTTGTTTCGGTGACTTGTGTGAGAAGGGGTGATTTTTAGTGGTGAATTGGTGCTTGTGGAGCATGGAGTGGTCGACGGTGGGGAAAGTAAGGGGAAAGGGTTTTGATGGTGGGTGAGGAAAGGTTGGTCGACAGTAGTTGTTATGATGAGACAATGGTGGCGGTGATGGCTCGAGAAAGGGTGGGGGTGGTGGCTGGGTTAGGGAGGTTTTACAGTTTTTTTTGGACCAATCAGGTGATGATAAATGTCCAAGTAATATATTATAACATGTTGATAATCGATTGAGATCAAAGTAAGCAAATGACCCCAAACTTCGGATTATTTAAAATAATCTGAAGTTGGGATTATTTGTGAATGGGTGAAAGTTGGGACTTGGGAGTATTTGCAAATGGGGAGAAAGTTGGGATTAGTTTTAATTAATTTAATAATGTTCCAAGATTCTTTCATAATGTATGTAGTGGTACTCAATCAAAACATGAAATTAAAACTGTTGTTTACACATATAATATGAATGTAAAAACCCTTAAATGATACTGTTCACATAATTACCATAGTTTGTTAGTAGGAAAATTATAAATAAATAAATAAATAAATAATAATAAAAAAAAGAAGTCCGAGAGAAACTGCAAACAAAACCTGGAGGATGTGCTTATACATTACCTTGTGAAGCCACAATGACCAAAAGAAGTCCGAGAGAAACTGCAAACAAAAGGGTACTAGGGACAAATTTAGCCATTGCTCTCTCGAAAACCTAATTGTTTACCTTTGATGTATGTTAAATGATTTGTTTGTGACTTTGCTTAACTTCATTTTTCTATATTTATACACACTTTTATGCCGCCTTGTCGGCCTTAATTACATACATGAGAATATGAGATTAGAGGCCAGCATAGACTCATCACGATTAATGGACAGGCCGGACATATTATTTAATAAATCCAAGGAATTTTTTTTATAAGACTACTTTATTTTATAAAGACAGAAACTAGTGAGTGTTTTCGAGACTTTAGATAAAAGAATTAAAAGTAAAAATATTAAATTAAATAAACATAAATTGTACTGATTGACGTGTGATTTTAACTTACATTTCAAACTTAATACAATTTTAAATTAGATAATATATTAATTAGTTATTTAAGTAATTTAACGCCTAAGAACATCTGCTAGCAAGATCCATATAAAAATCATAAAGAATTATTTTCAAAAATAAAATTTACCTGGAGCTAATTTGTGTATCATTTAATTGATTTAATTGGTAAATTTTTAACGACGATCTTCAATTAATTGAGTCGATAGTAATAAGTTGATCATTTATAATCATCATGTGAGGAGTGCATTTTCAGAAAATTTGGTAACATAAAGCACTGTCTCCATTTTCTTTTGATGTAATCATGTTTTTTCATACTTTTCAATACCTTTTTAAATCGTATACTACATCTCCAATTTTTTTATTACAAAAAAATTATAAATAAATTACTTTTTGAATGCGTCTATAAGACGATTTTTACAAGACCCTACATATTATTTTCACCTTACCTCCTACTCCCTATGTTTTTGTTTAGGTACATTGGTTTGCTTGACACCAAAGGTAAAGCCAGGAATTTAAAAGTAAGAGAGCTGACTCTTACATATTATTAAACAAAATCATTAAAAAATTACTTTATTCTCCTTCTATCCCTTAATTAGATGCCTACTTATTTTTATTATGCGAGTAACGGATACTATAAATAGGCATTTAATAAAGGGACGGAGAAAATATCAATTTTTTTTAAAAAAATAATATACTGTAAAATTTTAGATATTAGTATTATCAACACTCATATGCTCATTAATTTAAACAATTAATACACAACTTTATTCCTTTTTTTTTTCTTTAACCACTACTCCATATTATGAAAAAATATACAAATATTAGAAAATTTTAAATACATGGCGTCCGGCTAAGATTTGAAACTCATATATATGCTCATTAATTTAAGAAATAACTATAGTGTGACTCGGGCATTGTCCCAAGATTTTACTTCGCTTAGAGTAATCTCCTTTTTTCGTAAAGGATTTGGTTTTTTTTTTTTTATATTATTAAAATATATAGAGGACAACAATAAATTTGTAAAATATATTTGAAATATAATGTTAAATAGCTAAGAAAAATTAAAAGTTTTATGATTTTCATTTGTTTTTAGTTTATTGGAAGGTTTTGTTGTACATATAAATATATTTAATTAGGTGGATAGCATTCTTTTCAAGGAAATGTGGATAGCATAGTTTAATTTCTAGCCATGATGGCAAGAAGTGCAATTTTCATTTATTGATAATGTTAGGAGTTAAAAGCTCTTTTTATACGTTTTTAATGAACATCGACATAGATTATTAGATGGTGATGTGGCACAATTATAATGCAAGAAGCATACGCATGACACAAAGCCTTCTTAGAAATGTTTGTAATACGTATATAAAAGAAAAATTATATATAAATTACTTTATATTATGAGATTTTGCTATACACGTTATACCCTTCAATAAGTTTGAAAACATTTAAACATCAAATGAAGGACAAAATATTCTAATAAAACGTTACGAGTAATACAAAAACGTGCAGGCGACCTGTATCCTAAACTTGTCCGTAGATTAATGCTACCTGGCTGCCAGCAATTCATTCGTTCAGTCGTTCCTGTAAATTTGGAACCCACGAGAGAATTATTTTTTTTTAAATTTTTTTATTTTTTTATTTTTTTTTTTTGCAAAAACTTAGCTCAATTTGGATACTTTAGAGCCAAGATAACCCCTAAAACATTTTAAGGAACAATATTTTAAGCACGAAATCGGGAAAAAATAAAATAGATGTAAAGTTGGCTCCACTAACGACAACATGTAACGGAGGGTTAATGGCAAGGTTACAACGTAGTCAATAAATGGACCTTTAGGTTACAACGTGGAACTTATAAAAGGAGGGGGCCGGGCACAGCGTAGAAAAGTGAACACCTGAGGGTTATTGTATAGAATTTCCCTTTTTTTAGACGGTAAGATATGGAGTGTCCTTTCTATCACAGAAGGGAAAGGGTTAGGATCGTACCCCGGGATGTTATTGTCTCTGCGCATTATTGACACATTTTTAAATCTAATATTTTAGGGTCCTTTATCTATTCTTAAATGGAAAATTTGTCTAGAATTACCCTATAGATAGGGTCATTTGTGAATAACTACTTGTTTTATTTATTCATTTATTTATTTGTTTGTTTGGAACCATCCGCAAGTTATGAAACGTTTGGGTATCACTACCTGATATTGTTTTCTGTCCAACCAAACACTTTATAACGCTAAAGGGCTAAATCTCCTATAGCCACATATTTGTGATGAAACCTCCTTTGAACTTTTGAAGTGGATTATCTCTCTTGGTTTACGGGTGCAGCTCAGACCCGTATTTAACATTATGACAGTCTTATACTCTTTATAGGTCCAGTCATCATCATTGTCTTGATAGACGTTTTCTCTTTGACGGCCCAATCCTTTTTGTCAACCGAGCATATTCACCTTTTATGGCTATTCTAATAAGAGCTCAAAATGGAAAGCCAATTTTGCACCAAAACAAACCAAAATGTAAAAGTGAAAATAAATTATAGTACATGTAAATTGTAAATATCTATGCCATAAATTTGATCTTATGAAAAGTTAGACCTATAAGAATTATAAAATCATGTCCACAAAATCTCGTTTAATTGATTCATAAAATACCAACGGTCAAGGGATTACTCTTATTGCCATATAATTTTAGGATGAAAACTTCTTTAATATTGTGAAGTAAACCTCTTTTGTGTCGTTAACAGATGCCAAACCCGTATATAAATACGTAACATGCTTAAACATCATATATAAGCATTGAAGACAGAAGAGGATCACAACTCCCAATTATTTTAGCACCATCAACTATAGATTGTTGCAAAATATCTACAACTCTTTGTGATATAACTTCACCAAGAGTTATAATGGGAAATCCAGGTGGATATGGACATATTAACTCACCACATATTTTTCCAGTTGCATCTTTTATATCTACCTTCTTTTTCTTTGCAAAGAAGGCCTCTCTTGGTGTAAGTTTCATCTTGATATCACTCCAAGGCTCAAGATCAACACCCACTCTTCCGTTCATTGAATTAAATTTGATAAACGACGATGATGAAGATGATGATGACAAGTTCTTAAACGCCAAGATTAACCTATTAACATGCTCTCTACATGTTCCGGGAGAAAATGGCAATGTTATAAATCGCGATCCAGAGAGCTCAGACACTACCCTTTGATCCATATATATGAAGTCATCAGCTTCATATCCTGAAACACCGAGATCATGAACTCCAACAGTGACTCGTAAAGGGTCCATGTAAGGATGATCCAAGACGGCGATACCAGGGATTTGTTTGAGTGTGTTTTTAGCCTCAATTGCTAGATTTATAGCATTGTCAAAAATACTTGAAGGGTTTTCCTTCATTTGAGTTGTAGTAGCATCTAATGAAGCTAAAAGTAGTGAACTTGGACTAGTTGTTTGAAGGGTTTGATGGCATTTACTGATTTTATCCTCGTCGATAATGTTATTTTTAGATGAATGTAACATAGAGGATTGAGTAAGAGAGAGTAGAACTTTATGTGTGGATTGAACCACCAAATCGCCCCCCTGCTGGAGGGCCGGTAAAGGAAGGGATGGATGAAATCCGAAGTGAGCACCGTGAGCCTCGTCTACAATAAGAGGGATGTTGTGTAGGTGACAGTGTGGAGATCTCTTTTAAGTTGCTGCATATACCTTGATAAGTAGGGGAAGTTATGAAAACTGCACCTGGTTTGATGCCTTCTACTTCTGATTCTTCAATTGCCTTTTCTTACCTGGGATTGAATTAAATTATATTAGCATACAATTATCCAACCATGAAAAAATGTTGAGCATAATTCATTATAGCATATTGTGATACATCAAATATTACCTCCTACCCAAAAAAAAAAAAAAAAAAAAAAAAGAAAAAGAAAGAGCTTATATAATGGAAAATTTGTCAAAAAAACTTATATGTTCATTTTTTTTTTTTTGTGAGGAATGATCTTATAGGTTCAAAGTGGTAAAAAAATTCCTTATAAGTTATTTGTGTTGTAAGGAGGACTTTGATGCTGAAATTTGATCGTTGACTTCTGATGTGTCTATTTTATATAGTATTCTACCCCCATCCCTTGGTCATAATTAGTAGTGTTTTTGGCTCTTTAGAGCCGCTTTTATTACTAATTGGTGTTTTCTAGTGTTTTCGTAGATTTGGTTGACTTTTGCAGGGATTTGCACTTTTGGAGCATTTTCTCGAGATATTATGGAGCAATTACGAGCATTGGAAAAGCACGACCAGTTTCTATAGCCCAGGGCCGGTTAGAGCCATTGAACCGGTGATTAAGGGCTCGGTATATGTGATACCGGGGCATTTGGACCGAGTATTCAAGACCCAAAGAGGAAACCCAGATTGGCCCGCAGAATTGGAGTCCAATCGTAGTCCAGTTAGTGGACCAAGAGAGCCGCGCGGCCGGGCGAGAGAAGCAAAGGTTGGCGCCCGAAGACGCGCCTGGCCGGGCGCGAGAAATGTACCTGATGGAAAAAGGCGCGCCCTATCGGGCGGTGCCTCGACCGATCGGGCGCGTGTTAATATTAGGAGTTAATTTTGACGTTTAAGTTTGTTTTAGTTTAGGATTCTTACGGAGTATAAATACTTCTCCGTAAAACAAGTTTAGTACCTTTCTTTTAGCTTCTTTTACTCTTTCTTAATTATTTCTTAGATTTTCTCTCTCTACTTAGCTTTTAGATTAGTTTCTCTCTCTTATACTTTGTTATTAACTCTATTCTTAATTCCAGATTTATTTGGTAACAATTTCTCCTCTTAATCTTAGTTATTTATTTTATTCCTTTGATCATGTCTTGTTTTATTGCTTTGATTAGTTTAGTTTTTATTATGTGTGAGTAATTCTATTTCTAGGGTTTTTGGGGATCCATAAATAATATGAAGGGGTAATTTATTGTTGTTGATTATCAATGCTAGATTAATTTCCTATTGATTGATTTAATGCTCTGTGACTAGATTTGCGCAGATATTTTATGCATGAGTTTAACAATATTGATTCAAGATTCGAAAGATGAGAATTAATGTTTAGGTCTAGTTTCAATAGGCAGGTTAATTTATAAATGGTTAAGTCGAGATTCGAGAGATGAGATTTAATACCGGTAAATTAATTGTGTGATTGTAATACGTAGCGAAAGCCCTTTATTATCTGATTAATGTATGCATTGATGATTGATTATTATGTTTTACCCTGGAATATTATTTATTGGTGAACCTATGCCCTAGATCCTTTTAATCATTGTTTTCTCCTTATTTTTAATCTTCGTAGTTTAGTTCCTTTTGATTATAATATATTGGTTACTTCATAATCTAGATTATATTAGTTAATTAGGAATAGAAAGACTCGTTTCTCTGTGGATTCGACCCTACTTCCCTATCTACATTAGCTAGAGGATTTAGGAATTACTTTTGATTAGGGGATACGACTTTACCCTGTCAAAATTTGGCGCCGTTGCAGGGGAAACGGTTTTATTTTTATTTCTGATTTTTTTTTTTGTAGTCTAGGTTATTTCTTTTTTTGTCTCAGAGAACGTTAGTTCTTTGAGGCAAGTCTCATATTTGCTTGTAGTTTTTTGTTTATGCCTAGGTGTTCCAGATCAGGGTACATCCCATTTGATTCTGAGATCGAACGATCCTTCCATAGACAGAAGAATTTTTACAAGCAAATTCTGGCGGATTCTGGTGATAATAATAATCACCGAGATCCTCCAACTGGTTCTAGCGATTCAGAGGTATCATCAGATCCAGAATAAGAGATGACGGCTCCAAAGAAGCTTAGTGATTACTCACAACCAAAGCTTACAGATTTTCCACATCTCACTCCCACTCCGGCTCTTGATGAGGTACAATTTGATATTAAACCCCAATTTATAACGATGATAGAGAGGAAGCAATTTAGTGGAGCTAAGGGTGAAGACCCAAATCTTCACATTGCAGAATATTGTCAGTATTGTAATACCATCAGGCAAGCCAAGGTCACACAAGACCAAATCAGGGAGATTCTCTTTCCTTTCTCTTTAACTGGAAAAGCCAAATTATGGTTTAATGGTTTAAATAGAACTGCACTTGGTATAACTGACTGGGAAACTCGTGTTTTGAATTTTTATAATAAGTACTATCCTGCAGAGAGAACAGCCGTACTACGGAGTGCAATTCAGAACTTTGCCTAAGAAGCCGACGAAACTTTATATGAGGCTTGGGAGAGGTTCAAGGATCTACAAAGAGAATGCCCCCACCATAATTTGGCACAATGGCAGTTAATCCAAGCCTTTTACAATGGCATTGGAAATTCATCTAGAATAATTTTAGATTCTACAGCTAGTGGGAGGTTTATGAATCTTAATGTTGATGATGCAGGTCAGGTTATTGAAGATATGGCGATAAATAATTCCCAATATGGGAATCCTAGAGGATTTGCTAACAAGGGGAAGCATAGTGTTGACTCTGTATCCTTTTTGCAAGCTCAATTAACCTCTATCTGCTAAAAATTAGATAATCTTAGCACTGCTCATGTAGCTAATGTTTCTGCAATTAATAATAATGCTAATGAGGCTTTCTGTGAAAATTGTGGAATTTTAGGTCATTGGAAACAAGATTGCAGGAGTTCCGTAGAGCAAGTTAATGCCTTTCAAGCTTATAGGCAAAACAACCCATACTCCAACACCTATAATCCTGGGTACCAGAATCATCCATACCTTTCCTATCGGAGCACTAATGTTCAAAATCCACCACCACAAGAACCACATGCGCCACAACAACAACAGCAGAAATATTACCACCCCAATGATGGCCAGAAGAACCAACCACAACAACCCTCCTCATCTTCCGACCCTGCTTTGGTAGAAATTAGAGCGATGTTGGTTAATATGCAGTAGCACATGGAGAGTAGAGATGCACAAATTTATTCAATTCTAGCACATAATAAAATTGTAGATAATCAAATTGCGCAACTTTCCGCTACTCTACAAGCCCGCCAATAGGGAGCTCTGCCAGCACAACCGACCAGGCCTACGGATCAAGCCTATGCAATTACTCTAAGGAGTGGTTCAAACTATGAATGGCACCCCCTATGCCCAGAGTTGATGAACCTGTTTTGATAAATAATGCTAATCTTGATTCCTTAAACCAGACAATGCAGCTAAAACCCTGCAGAGCTAAAGCATAGTACTAATATATCTGATTCTACATTGCAGGGTACGACTCCAGAGAAGGTGGCCACTCCAGATAAGAGCAATAATGCTCCAAAGCCAGTTATCAAACTTCCATTCCCCAATCGTCAATTGAAAACAAATTTGGATAAGTAGTTTGGTAAGTTTCTGGAGATGGTAAAAGATTTGAAGGTAACAGTTCCCTTCACTGAATTAATCACACAAATTCCTGCATACGCAAAATTTATGAAAGAAATATTGACAAGAAAAAGGTCTATTAGTGAGGTACAGACAGTAGCTTTCACTGTAGAGTGTAGTGCCGTACTTCAAAATAAATCTCCACCTAAATTAAAAGATCTGGGTAGTTTTTCCATCCCTTGTCATATTGGCAATCTAATGATTGATAATGCATTGTGTGGTTTGGGTGCTAGCGTTAGTGTTATGCCATTATCTGTGTGTTCCAAGTTGAATATGTGTAAATTAAAAGCTACTAATATTACTCTACAAATGGTCGACCGTTCTTTCAAATACCCCTTAGGTGTTTTAGAGGATGTTTCCGTTAGAGTAGGTAAATTTTATATACCTGTTGATTTTGTTGTTCTTGATATGGATGATGATATGCAAACCCCAATCATTTTGGGTAGACCGTTCCTTAACACCGCAGGAGCAATTATAGATGTGAGAAGTGGTAAATTAACACTATCAGTAGGAGACGATAAAATTATTTTTAATCTTAATAATACCCCTAAAAGCCCCATGACAGAAGGGAGAAGTGCTTTAGTGTTAATGTGGTTCATAATTATTCTAACAAGCCCCAAGCTCTTGAAAAAGATCCCTTGGAGGCGGTATCTTGTGTTGAAAAAGAGCCCTCTACACCTATCGGTCTTGATTTTGAGGACGAAAAAGTGGAATCAATCAAGCAAGTTGTGGAAATTGAGCCTACGGTGAGTGTTCCGCCAGATCGAGTTGCAAGTGCTAAATGCAATGACAATTTGAAGCAACCCTCGATCAAAGTGGGATCTTTAGTGCGTAGCATTGAAGAACCCCCATTCCAAGTCAAGGAGGATCCACCAGATAAGGTGAATTGGCGTCCCACAGGGTATGTTAGGAAGCCGCGTCGTAGCCAAAACAATGCTCGACCGGGTGAGAAACCGCCCGAACAAGCGTTAGGCCAAGGGTCCTAGTTCTTAAACTTGGTAAGAAGGTCGTGCGGGACCTAGATAAACCAGCGCTTTACGGGAGGCAACCCGTATTTTAATGCTTTTTTAGACTAGTTTTTTTTTCATTTTTTTTTCTTATGAGAGGAGAGATGAGGGAATTTAATGAGTTTTATGAGTTTTTATACAGGTTTGAAAGAAAGAGTTAGCCAAAAATTGAAGAAAAGAAAAAAGCAAAAAAATTCGTTAATTAGCCTCGGGCCCGACCGGGCGCGAGAGTTGGGTTAAAAAAATCGAGTGTTTTCGCCCGACCGGGCAACTGCCGCCCGACAGGGCGCGAAACTCGTCGTATACGGACATTTTTGATCGCCCAACCGGGCGCGAGAAGAGACGAAAATTTCAGCATCAGATTGCCCGATCGGGCGAAGGGCGCCTGATCAGGCGCGAGAGTAGACGAATTCGGTCACTTAGATCGCCCGACCGGGTGAAGTGCCATCTAACCGGGCGCGAGAACGTAGCAGAAAATTAAATCAGATCGCCCGACCGGGCGCGACTGACATCCGACTTCATTTTTTTTTCTCTTTTTTTTCTCATTTCTACCTCTTTCCTCCATAACTTTCTCTCTCTAAAAACTTAAAACCTCTACCTTCTCTCTAAGTTTTCTTCTCTATATCTCAACTAAATCCAAATATTTTTACATTTTATTAATCCTCTCTTCATCCTCTACAATTCTATATAAAAATTTTCGAATTTCATTCAAATCAATTTTCATACCCATTTTTACCATGGCTTCAAAGAGGGCTCGATCTATTTTCGGTAGGATTTCTAGCTCGAGGGAGGAGTACGACCCGGATTCACAACTCCCGTACTAGCCAACGATCCGTATTGCTATCCAGGAGCAAAAGGAGTGGCTAACACCTAGTCGGGCGCGAGGTAATTCCTTCACAGTGGTTACACCGCCCTACTTTAGAATCGTATGGTTTGTTTGATTTTGTTAAACGATTTTTAAATGACATAGGCATGAGAAAATTCGTTGATATGCATTATCCTACATACCGTGAATTAACTTGTGAATTCTTGACTTCTTTAAAAGTTGTAAACAGTAGAAATGGTCCGAATTTAATTTTTAGGTTGAACAATAGAAATATTAGTTTAACATATGTGGAATTTTGTAAATTGTTTGAATTAAATTCTGAATTACAATACCAATGGCATGCTGATTACAAAATGGATTACATTTATCATGCTCTTACCATACCAATGGCATACTGGTTTGCCTACCCCCGACCCCCAAAATGCTAGTACCAAACCTATTCATCACCCTATCCCAAAAATTTGACAAAGATTTGCGGGTTTGTGTTTTCTGGGTAGGAATGAGCCCCATAACACCCAAACCATCGAACTAGCTGTTATAGGACACTATGTGTTTGGGTTTGGGAAACTGAACATGGGTAGGTACATAATCCACCATTTGATCAGAGATGCCACATCCAGTACCCAGTCTCGCACCCCCATTTGTATAGGAGGCCTTATCACTAGAATAGCAGTGAAAAAGGTCGGTTTTGTTGAGGGTGGACCCACCAACTGACCAACTGTGGACCGGATACCTATATGACTGCTAGGTATTTTGAGGAGTTGGAGTGGGTACGACTGGACAGTGAGAAGACACCCCACTGGTGTATTAGGACTGGGATCGAGCAGCCTTTGCCCATTTTTTCCCTACCTAGTCCTGACTTGACCGCTTTTCCCCCGGGCAACCATCCTACACGTATGACCTTTTAGTTTCCAACGCTAGGGGGCAAGCACCACCAGTACCACCACCCCAGCCTCAGCCCGAGGTAGCGTTTTCTCCACCTCGCATGTCTTACCCCGTCCCTTATGTTGACTCTGACTTAGTTTGGGACCTTCAGAGTATAAGTCAGGCTTTAGGCAGTATCGAGCATTCCCACACTGACCTTAGGAGGATGGTAGGCTCCATTGACCAGAGGTTAGGGTACTTGGAGAGGAACCAGGGTAGATCTCTCTACCCTATGTACGATGATTATACTCGTCGTGGCAACATTCCCGATGACGCTATTTGCCCTGACTGGTTTCAGCCTCCACGCTAGGGATACGATAGGGATCCCACGGCCAGGACATTCCTTTCGGGGGACCGGAGGGGGGGAGTTTTTATGCTGACTATTTTGGTGGTAGCTCTTCTGGTGCAGGTGGTGCAGGTGGCAGTGGAGGTGCAGGGTTTGGCTCCATGGATGAGGATGATCAGGACTAGCTATGCTGGGCTAGTTCCCGAGCCAATGAAGACATTGTCTGATTCTGGCTTGGGGGAGATTTTGGATTTGGTATCTTTCTTTTTCTTTTTCTCTTTTCTTTTATTTTTGGTGTGTTTTCTTAGTTTAGATTTATTGCTTTCTAGGTTAGTTTATTTTCTTTCTTATATATGAAAAATACAAAAAAATTGAAAAAAAAAATCCAAAAATACGTTCCAATGAATTATAAATCATGCTTCCCTGTGCCCCATACTTGAGAAAATTTGTTTTGATTCTTGGTATATGATGATAAGAATTGTGGATTATTTGATCATGATTTAATGTTTGATCGCCTTGGAACCTTAACATGAGTCAATTTTGCAAACTATTTGTGAATATAGTGCTTGACTAGTTGATTTGGTTAGGAATGTGTGATAGTTCCTGGTATGTCAATGAATTTGAGTATTAGTTTGCAACTATAATTAATGTTTATATGATTCATTATTATGCACATAGTGGAGGACGAAGGCGTTCATTCTTTTAGGTAGCCTTCAGATGATTGTATATACATTTGTTCCCTTCTTGCTACCCATGTTGTTGCCTTGATTTTTTGTTGTTTATTAGCCACATTACAAGCCTATTTTGCCCTATTGGTTACTAGTCCCAAGCTTGGCTTGGGGGAGCTATTAGTGAGTGAGGTGAGGGAGTTTGTAGTGTGCTCATTATTTGCACAATGTGGGTGGGTTTTGAGAAGTTATTTTATTCTTGATCATGTTTATTTTTGATGAGTTTGAGAGTTATATTTTCTTGAAAAAATAAAGGATGATGTTATGAAAGAAAAAAAAAAGAGAGAAGTTCAAAAAAAAAAAAGTGAAAAAAATATAAGTGAACTTCAAAAGAAAAAAAAAGAAAAAAAAGTGTTCAATGTTCAAATGCTCTAGTTGGAGGTTAATCAAAAGGAAAAAAAAAATAGAGCTTCAATGAAAAATTCAAGTTTGGAAAATAAAGTTTGTTTATTCACTCCACTTCTTCATTATTATATCTTATGAGTGAAATTGTAAGTGTTGGGATTGTTTATATTGTTTGGAGTTGTATTTGGTGGATTTTTGTTAGAGTTGGTTATGTAGGAGATGTTGATCATTATTTATTTTGATCTTGGGTTTTACTAGGATTTTCTTCCTTAAGCATAGCTTTTCTCTCACTTGTTCTCAAATGATTCCTACCCTTTACCCTAGCCTTACATTACAAGCTTTAAAGACCTTCTGACCTTTGTGCATAGAGTTGTATGAATGTGAAAGTGTTTTTTATCAATGCAAGTTATGATTTGACATATTTCGAGTCGACTAGTAGGTTTAGTGTTCATTGCTTTATACACACGAGAGTGTGAGTTGGGACGGCATTGTTCACATAAAGGGGTTGGTTGGAGAGCGATCAAGTACATCTTTTACTCGCCACATAAATGAGAGTTGAGTGTGTGAGCACTAGTCTTGAATTCTATATGCTCATGTGGTTTGCTCTATTGTTAGGGAGGAAGGGTGATCGGACGGATTTGATTGGTTGATTTTGAAGCATGTTTATTTGATTTACCCTGAATTGTTTGTGCTTGATTTTTACTGAAACATATTTATTTATTCATTGATGAGATCTTTTCTTAGGGACAAGCAAAGGTTTGGCTTGGGGGAGTTTAATGTGTCTATTTTATATAGTATTCTACCCCCGTCCCTTGGTCATAATTAGTAATGTTTTTGGCTCTTTAGAGCCGCTTTTATTACTAATTGGTGTTTTCTAGTGTTTTCAATTCGTAGATTTGGTTGACTTTTGTAGGGATTTGCACTTTTGGAGCATTTTCCCGAGATATTATGGAGCAATTACGAGCATTGGAAAAGCACGACCAGTTCCTATAGCCCAGGGCCGGTTAGAGCCATCGAACCGGTGATTAAGGGCTCGGTATATGTGATACCGGGGCATTTGGACCGAGTATTGAAGACCCGAAGAGGAAACCCAGATTGGCACGAAGAATTGGAGTCCAATCGCAGACTAGTTAGTGACCCAAGAGAGCTGCCCGGCCAAAAAGGCTGGCGCTTGGAGGCGCGCCTGGCCGAGCGAGGGAAGCATAGGCATGCGCCCGAAGACGCGCGAGAAATGTACCTGATGGAAAAAGGCGCGCCCGATCGGGCGGTGCCTCGCCCGATCGGGCACGTGTTATTATTAGGAGTTAATTTTGACGTTTAAGTTTGTTTTAGTTTAGGACTCTTACGGAGTATAAATACTTCTCCGTAAAACAAGTTTAGTACCTTTCTTTTAGCTTCTTTTACTCTTTCTTAATTATTTCTTAGATTTTCTCTCTCTACTTAGCTTTTAGATTAGTTTCTCTCTCTTATACTTTGTTATTAACTCTATTCTTAATTCCAGATTTATTTGGTAACAATTTCTCTTCTCTTAATCTTAGTTATTTATTTTATTCCTTTGATCATGTCTTGTTTTATTGCTTTGATTAGTTTAGTTTTTATTATGTGTGAGTAATTCTATTTCTAGGGTTTTTGGGGATCCATAAATAATATGAAGGGGTAATTTATTGTTGTTGATTATCAATGCTAGATTAATTTCCTATTGATTGATTTAATGCTCTGTGACTAGATTTGCGCAGATCTTTTATGCATGATTTTAACAATATTGATTCAAGATTCGAAAGATGAGAATTAATGTTTAGGTCTAGTTTCAATAGGCAGGTTAATTTATAAATGGTTAAGTCGAGATTCGAGAGATGAGATTTAATACCGGTAAATTAATTGTGTGATTGTAATACGTAGCGAAAGCCCTTTATGATCTGATTAATGTATGCATTGATGAATGATTATTATGTTTTACCCTGGAATATTATTTATTGGTGAACCTATTCCCTAGATCCTTTTATTCATTGTTTTTTCCTTATTTTTAATCTTCGTAGTTAAGTTCCTTTTGATTATAATATATTGTTTACTTCATAATCTAGATTATATTAGTTAATTAGGAATAGAAAGACTCGTTTCTCTGTGGATTCGACCCTACTTCCCTATCTACATAAGTTAGAGGATTTAGGAATTACTTTTGATTAGGGGATACGACTTTACCCTGTCAACTTCATTTCTCTGGCGTTGACTAGGGGTGAGCATGAGACGGGTACCCGTACCGTTGGTACTAACGGTTCGGGTTCCCGATAACCAAAATCACTAAAAGTGATATCCATATCCCGAACCGATAAGTTCAAGTACCCGGACTTCGGGTACCCGGATTTTCGGATCTGTTATCGGGTACCCAATAAGATATCCAATAATGATAATTAAACTTAATTATGTAGTTATTATGATATAATTTACAAATAATTAAAAACAATACCATATGATCTTGACCAAATTATTAATAATATTACTAATCATTGATATTATAAAGTGATTATGAAGTAAAGTAAAAGTTTAGATTTATATTCATAGATTTAACTTGGGAAAAAAAGCAAAAAAAAAAAAAATGCTTATTGGATCGGTTCGGGTAACCGTTAATTTTAAAATGATACTCATAACCTTACCCGATAACAAATTATCGAAACGGGTACCCAAACCGTTATGGTTATCGGATCGGGTACCTTAATTTTCGGAACGGTTACGGATCGGTTTTTCGGATTTTCCGTTTTTCAGATTTTCGGTTTTGCTCAGCCCTAGCGTTGACCATTATGTTTGTGGCACGTGATATTAAAAAATGTCTTTTCCTTAATTTTTTTTCCCACATTTTCATTTATGGTCTTCTTCTATCCCCAAATTTTTAAATACTTAAAAATTGAATTGAGATTTTACAGGTGGTATAAAAATTCCTAATCTACAACTAATACTAAAATAGAAGCCATTGACCTTATCATTGTTCAAACTATTGATAGCTTTTCATTAATTCTTTATCTTCCATTTAAATAAATTTATACTCTATTTTACTCTGTATTTTTATTCAAAATACTTATGACTCTACACTTTTCCGATCCACACACATTTATTGCAAAATTTCTACAAGTAATTTCCAAACACTCTCAAGTGATTTTGCTTATTTAATCAATACTTCCTCTATATATTCCGAAAATTCCGTATAATAAATATAGTAGTTGTAAATTACTCCTTCCGTCCTTTTATTAGAGTTCCATTTCTCATTTATTTTTTTACGAGAATTAAGGCTTTTTCAGATTCCATAAATCGTGTGATTGGAAATACAGAGTATAAAGTACATTAAGTACATTAAATAACAAGTGGGAGGAAAAGAAAAAAGTGGTTAATAAATGCCAAAAAGAAGAAGTACCTAGAAAGAAGAAGAAGAAGAATGAGGAGAGAAAACATATGTTGGTGGATTAATAAATGTCAAAAATATTTAGCACCAAAAATTAGTAAAAATTGAGGATAATTTGAGGATTAAATTACGAGAATGAGGTTAAAATTGTAAAAAACCACTTACTAAAACGGGAAAGATTATAACAATGGGACTTTAATTTTGATTTGCCAAAAAAGGAATAGTGGACACTAAGATAAGAACGGAGGGAGTAAATTCAATTTATAAACAGAGTTAGGGCCTGTTCTCATTGACTGAACTAAGCTGAACTGAACTGAACTGAATTGAGCTGAACTGAACTGAACTGAACTGAGTTGAGTTGAGCTGAACAGAACTGAAATGAATATTTTATAAGAGAAGGAAATTAGGAGCTGAGCTGAACTGAACTGAACTGAACTGAACTGAACTGAATTTCAACGTAAGAGAACAGGCCCTTAGTTTAAACATTGTTTTTATCTTAAAGTAAATATACTTAAGTAAAAGATCTACTGTAAAAAACACAAGTGAAAAAGACTCAAAAGAGTGGATGATTCTATGGTGTCATTTTTACAAAAATGACACCATAACATGACGAGGTGTCATGTTATGACTGATCGATTTTTGATTTTTTTTAAATACTTAAATATACTATACATGTATATATAATTGTTAATACGTGTATTTTTTTTATAGAATACGTAATTATAGTTTTTTAAAATCTATTTTAAACTTAATAAAATCATTTTCAAAAATTATATTAGAATTACAATTTAGCAAACAAAAAATCATCCACTAGGTGAAATAACAAAATTGGCACCGCCCTAAGGCCACCGGTTCTTAAGAACCGGTGAGGAAAAAAGTGGGAAAAAACAAGGGAAGGGAATTGCCACCGGTTCAAAGAGAACCGGTGGGTAAAATACTAAACCCACCGGTTCAAACCAGTAGCTTTACTATTTTTTTTTAAAAAAACCGCCCCATAAATACCCAAATAAACCCTACTCTCCTCAGCTGCTCTACTTCTCTTTCTCTCTCCTCATTCTCTTTCTCTCTCCTTCTCTCTCTTCTCTGTTCGTCTCCTTCTTTCTCTTTCGATCTCATCTCCTTCTTTCTCCTGTTCTTCTCCTTTGTTCTCATCTCCTTCTCTCTCTTTTTCTCTTTCGTTCTTCCCCGATTCTCGTCCAGTTAATTGAATACCACCTTCGATCTCATCCCCTTCTTGTTCGATCTACATCAACATCAATAGCAATTTCTGGGTATTTTTCGAGGTCAGGGTTTAATTTTTGGGTTTAATTCGATTTTGTACTTTTTAGGGTTTAATATAATTGATTTTCGAAATTGCTTTGAGCAATTGATTATTCTGGGTTAGATAGGTTCAAATCGATTTTCTTGGATTTTAGGTGATTTCTGGGTTGTTTTATTTTTAAATTGCTTTCGATCTCATCTCCTATTGAAGATGATGAAGATTTTGAAGGTGTATTTATTAACTTTGCCTTTTTTGAATTTTATTTGAAATGTTCTGAATAATATTCTGAATTAAGTTGTTGTTTCTGTACATTTGTTTGTATGAAATTTGGTTAGTATGTCTATTTAAAGATATAATCTTTATGCTTCTTGCATTTATTTGAAGGTGGAAATCTTATATTGTTTGATTTATTGTGAATAATATTCTGAATTAAGCTTGTTTTTGGTCTTATGTTATTTGATTTATTGTGAAATTGGCTTCATTGTCATTGGATTGAGCATGCATATCGAAGTGGAGTATTGGCAGAAACTATCTTAGATCATTAATTTGATAGAGTGAACAATTGAAGCTTTAATGATTAATTGAATAGTTTCAGTTTCTGTCATATCTGATTTGGATATTGAAATTTGATTGTGGTGGATATTGGAGCCAATTCTCTACCGAAGCTGTAGGAAGTTAAAGTAATATTAGAATATTAGCAGATTGAGAATGTAATTGACAGATTGAGGTTGAGCATGTCAGTAGAATGCTATATTGATTCTTTTTAGTTTCATGCATCCATATGCTTCTTGACTCAAATTATTGCTTGCTTGAATGTGTTGCACTTTCTCTTTGTGCAGTTTGGAGACTACTTTGAGAAATTATTTATGCTTGACCTCTAGAGACAACATCATGGTGGCATATAAAAACAAGAAGTATTACGTTGACATTATTGAAACAAAGCCCTCTCATGCAATCAGTATAATCGAGACAGACTGTGAGGTGGACTTTGCCCCTCTTCTTGATTATAAAGAGCCTGAAAGACCTGCAATATCTGCTCTTGGCAAGGCACAGCTCAAGGTTTGCACAATAACTTTACTCTCTTTTCCTTAGTTAGGTATCAAATAGTTCTTCATGTTTTGTCCAGTAATTAGAAATGCATAAATAAATTGAACTATTAGCCAATGGTAGGAGCTACTTGATGAGAATCATGAAACAGCAGTAATGCCATTGAAGCAATTATTTTGTATTATTTGGTTAACATATTGTGAATGAGCTTGGTCCCTTTAAAATTTTCCTAATAACAATGATTTTGTTGTTAATCTATACAAGTAGCTTAAAACAATATCAAATCTCTTTGCTGTTATCTTCTTGATTTTCTTTGAGAAACTTATAGCTTAAGCGAATTTGGTTAACATATGGTGAATATTGGTTTATTTCTTTTCTTTATGTTAGGATTATTAATTCTATTTTTAAAGAAAGAGGAATTAAGGTTACAAATACCCCTGTTGTTTTGATTGATGATGTTGCAGATTTGTCGATTGGGCTTAGCTTGTTGTATTGCTTTGCTTTGGTGTTAATTCTATGATTGTTGGGTTATTAATTCTATGATTGTGTTGAAGTGGGAATGATTTGCTTTGGTGTAATTTGAGTAGAAAGGAACTAATTTCAAAGTGGATTTTAAAATAGGTTTTGATTATATTGTTTGGGGGTGGTAATTTGAGTAGAAAGGGATCCAGTATCACATTGAATTGTTATGCTTGGTGTAATTTGACTCTCTTGAAATTGAATTGGTTATGCTTTGGTATAATTTGAGTTGAGTAAATGCCAATATCACATTCAATTTGGGCTATCATTTTATTGTTATTTACATGTGTTAATGATGCATTTTGAAATTCTGTTAGCTCTGTTGATTTTTCTATTGAGTTTTGTAGAAATTACTGTAATTTGAGATAAGATACTAATTCTTGCTACTTCAGTTTTTGGTAAAAAAAAATAAATAAAAATTATTTTGCTGAATTCGCTAAAATCATTGGGTGAATTTGCTGACTTAGCTACTGTCGCCCTGCCGAGGCTACCGTTGCAGCTGGCCTGGAAAGGTTGTAGCTACTGCTGCCCTGCCGAGCCTGCTGCTGCAGCTGGCCTAACAAGGTTGCAGCTACTGCAGCCCTGCTGAAGCTGCTGCTGCTGGCCTCGAAAGATTGCAGCTACTGCTGCCTTGCCAAGGCTGCTGTTGCAGCATCCCTAGCAAGGCTGCAACTGCTACTACTCTGCCAAGGCTACTTGTTATGCTTGATTATTAATCTATAACCTTTGAGGAAAGCAAAGTAATGGATGGAGGAGGAGGAGGTGGGTTATAGGAGAGGCTGAATAAAAAATTAGGTTGGTCATTTCTCCATGTTAAGAATCTTTTAGAATATGAAAATGTATTTTCCAAGGCTTTTCTTCTCGGTCTTCCTCACTGCATGTATATATGGTTGAATTTAAGGTAGTATTGCTCTGCTTGTTGTCTTTGATTAATACACACTTCGAGATCTCTTATCTTTGTTTGTTGATGCAGGTGGCTGTCGGAAGATGTTATCTATACGCAAGGCTGTTGCTGCCTCGCCAAGGCTCGCTGCTGCAGTTGCTGCCTCGCGAGGTGTTACATTGGTGATTTGGTGTGACTTTGTATTTAACAGTGACTTGTATTTTTTTTTTGGACCAAAATTGTAATATTACGACCTTTTTTTAATGAAAATATGTAAGTTTATATATATGTTAGTGTTTATATATCAGTTTAATTGAAAAAATGCAAAAAAAAAAAAAAAAATGGCCATTATTGGCACCGGTTTTGAACAGGAACCGATGCCAAAAACCCCTTTAAAAAAAGCAGGAATGGGTTTTTGCCACCGGTTAACTGGTGGCAAAAATAATTATTGCCACTGGTTAACCGGTGGCAATACTAGTTATTGCCACCAGTTTTAAACTGGTGGCTTTGCATCTGACTATTGCGACCCCCAAATGCCCACCGGTTCAAAACCGGTGGCATAGGGGGGTTTTGAACCGGTGGCCAAATGCTATTTTCGCCTAGTGATCATTGTTCTTCGTTGTTCTTCATTCCGTCTACAATTCCGACCAAAATTCCGAACACAATTCTGACCACAATTCCAACCACAATTCCGACTAATTTCCGACCAAATTCTGACCAAAATTCTGTCCAACCCCATCCAAATTCGGGTACAAATTTCATTTAGGATTTGATGATGATTTTGATTGATGTAAAAATCAATTTATTTGATAGTTTTGAGAATGGAAAAAGCCTTAATCGTGTGTAATATGATGATGTGAAATGCTTAATTTTCATTTTTTTAACGTCATTGGATAACAAGAGTTTGCTCTTCAATTTAAAATTCGAGTTTTTTTTTCGAACTGTTTGATCCAAAATTGTCGTTTACGATTTTTGTTATATGTTTGTGATTAGGTAATTACCTGTATGTAGTTAGGTCACTACCTTTATTTATGTAGGTCATTACCTTAAAGTTTTAGCTATAATTAATTAGGTTATTATTTGTAGTTGGAATATGCTTGTGTGTAAGGCATTCATTATTACTCGTTAGTTTTGGTCATTAATTAAAAAATTAAGTTTTATGTTTTAATTGGAATCTGCTCGTTCTCAAGACATTTATATGAATTACCTAACAGTGCGTTTAGTAATCATAATTTTATGCTAATCATATAAAAAAAATAAAATTGATTTAAGGAATTTTTATCTTATCATTTTTGCAAAAAAATATTTATGGTATCATTATCATATTGTATTTTAAAAATAATATTTTTGAAAATTTTATCATAACATTTTAGCAAAAAAAAATTTATGGGATTATTATCTTATTATATTTTGGAAACAATATTTTTGAAATATTGGGCATATAAATTAGTGGCTATAATTTTGGGATATTCCTAAAGTATATTGTTCTTTATCAAATCCTGCCACGTTCATAAGTAGAGTTTTACTTATTTTTCTTTTTTCACGTTCAATTGTAGAATCATAAGTCCTTCGATCGAAGTTGGTACTGCTGAATTTCAATCATGGTCAAGAACGCATATGTAAGTGTGCTCACCTAACTGACTTTTTACGTTATTAAAAAAATTTACATAATCATACTTGCAATTTCATTTAAAACATGATTTTTAAATATAAAAGTAATTGATTCCTAAGGGTTGGGTAATAGACAAACTACATAATCATACTTGCAATTGCATCCAGAAGTCTTCAATGAGACTACCATGACTGAGTTCGAGACAACGCGAAATCTCAGATTGACAATGCCTCTGATGTTCATGACCTAGGTAAAGGTATTCTTCGAATTTTGATATTGAATTGCTCAACTGTTTTGATCTAATAAAATTATCGTTTAATGGATTAACTCTGTTTTGATCTTGAATAACACTGATTTTAAATGGAATTGTCCTTTTATTGTTCAGGTTACTACCTATTACTTTTTATAATAGTACAGACAACTATCTTATTTACTTTGTAGTTGACCTTTTAGTGTTAAGATTATTATCTATTAAATTCTATAAAAAAAAATTCAAACAAGTCTCTATTTACCTTTAAATAACGTTTTACTGTTAAGGTCATTACCTTTGAAGTTTTTATCTAATACTAACAAGTATTTGTTTTACTTTGGAATTGACTTGTTATTGTCAAGGTCATTACCTGTTTCTTCTTTCTATAATCCAGAAAATGCTTTTGTTTTATTTTGGAGTAACCTGTTACTATTAAGCTCATTACATGATGTTATATATTTCTGAACAACAGTTACATCCCAGATTAGTGCGGGAATTGACCTTGTGTCTTATGGAATATTACCAATTGCATTTTTGTTTTGTATGTTTTATAAAGTATATGTTTGCATATCCTACATATACTTTTATAAAAATTGATTGTCTTTTAAAATTGGTGAAGATATTGGCAATAACAATGATGAAACAAGCAGCCGTAGCATTCCCGAAGATGGGTATCAGTCTGGACGTAAAGAATTCAATGATTAAGATAATTAGAAGATATAATATATGTGTTTAAATGACTTAATTTGTAATTACCTTTTAAATCCTTTCTTATTATGGTTTGACTTTTGCAACTTATCTAAACAACATTGAACATCCCACATAAATACCTTGGTTTGTTTTTTTTTTTTTTTTCTTGCTTGAACTCAGTTTGTTTAGCTATGCTTTTGACAGGTATTAAAGACGCTATAAATTTTTTGGATATATCCATTTTATATAGTAATTTACCCCCGTCCCTTGGTCATAATTAGTAGTGTTTTAGGCTCTTTAGAGCCACTTTTATTACTAATTTGTGTTTTCTAGTGTTTTCGTAGTCTTTGTTGAGTTTTGTAGGAAATTGCGCCTTTGGAGCATTTTCTCGGGTTTTTCATGGAGCGACTACGGGAATTAGAAGTGCACGACCATCTTTGAAGCCCAAGGCCGGTTAGAGTCATCGAGCCGGTGATTAAGGGCTTGGTAATTGGGATCCCGAGGCATTTGGACCGAGTATTCAAGACCCGAAGAGGAAATCCGGATTGGGCCGAGAAATCAAGCCCAATCGAAGTCCGAGCCTCAAAGTGAAGCAAGGGCCCGATCAGGCAAGAGGTTGCACGATCGGGCGTGGCGCGACGTTGGTGCTGTGCGTGCTTATAGCGCGCCCGATCGTGCGAGCGTCTAGCACGATCGGGTGATGCTGCGGAGAAGGAACGCGAAGAAAAAGGCGGGCCCGATCGGGCGCGTGTTTTTATGAAGCCTGATTAGTTTAGTTTTAATTTTTGTTTTAGAAAACGTTTAAGTACGATTTTATACGGAATTGAGATTACCTTCTTTCTTAGACTTTCTCTCTCTACTTAGAATATTTCTCTCTCTTAAATTCTCTCTCAACTTTTGTTCTTAATTATTTCCATTAATCCAGATTTCTTTTTGGTAACAATTTCTTCTCTTTTAATTTCAGCTATTTTACTTCTTTGTTTATGCTTTTATTTATTTATTTAATTAATTTAGTTATGATGATGTGTGAGTAGTTTTATTTCTAGGGTTTATGGGGATCTAATAAATGATATGAAGGGGTAATTTTGTGATTGTTAATTATCAATGCTTGGTTGATTTCCTATTGGTTGATTTAATGCTATGCAATTAGGTTCGGCCAGATTTAATTGTATGAGTTTAGCAATATTAATTCGAGATTCGGCAGATGAGAATTGATGTTTAGGTTTAGTTTCAATAGGCGGATTAATTTATAAACGGTTAAGTCGAGATTCGACAGATGAGATTTAATACCGGTAAATTAACTCTGTGATTATAATACGTAGCGAAAGCCCTTTATAATCTGATTAACCAATGCTTGATGATTGCTTATTATGATTTGCCCTGGAATATTGTTTATTAGTGAACCTTTGCCCTAGGCCTTTTAATATTTTATTTTCTCCCTACTTTATTCCTTTCGACCTTATTCTCCGTAGTTTAGATTTTATTCACAAAAAATTTAGTTACTTAGATAATTTGGACTATAATAATTAATTAGGAATAGAAAGACCTGTTTCCCTGTGGAGTTCGACCCTACTTCCCTATCTACTTTAGTTAAAGGACTTAGGTAATTACTTTTGATTTGGGGATACGACTTTACCCTGTCAAAATTTGGGCCGTTGCCGGGGAGACGGTTTTATTTTTGTTTTTAGATTTTATTTTTGTAGTCAAGATTATCCCCCTTTGCCTCAGAGAACGTTAGTTATTTGAGGCAATTCTCATATTTGTCTTTTAGTTCTTTGTTTATGCCCAGGTGTTCCAGATCAGGTTACATCCCATTCAACCCTGAGATCGAGCGCTCTTTTCATAGGCAAATGAAACTCTATAGACAAATTCTGGCGGGTTCTGAGGAGGACAACAGTCGAAGAGATCCTCCCTCTGATTCTAGTGATACATATATTCCTTTAGATTAAGAATCAGAGATGATGGCCCAGAAGAAACTCAGTGACTACTCGCAACCGAAGCTCACAGATTTCCCGCACCTTACTCCCACTCCGGCTCTAGATGGAGTTCAATTTGAGATCAATTATCACTATGATAGAGAGGAAGCAATTCAGTGGAGCTAAGGGTGAAGATCCTAATCTTCACATCGCAGACTTCTGCCAATATTGTAACACCATTAGACAAACCGGGGTCACGCAAGACCAAATCAGGGAGATTCTTTTTCCTTTTTCATTATGTGGCAAAGCTAAATTATGGTTTATTGGTTTGAATAGAACTGCACTTGGTATTACTGACTGGGAAACTCTTGCTTTGAATTTCTATAATAAATACTATCCTGCAGAGAGAACAACGGTGCTAAGGAGTGCTATTCAGAACTTCGTTCAAGAGGCCGACGAAACGTTATATGAGGCTTGGGAGAGGTTCAAGGATCTACAGAGAGAGTGCCCTCACCACAATCTAGCACAATGGCAATTGATCCAAGCATTCTATAATGGTATTGGAAATTCTTCTAGATCAGTGCTAGATTCGGCAGCTAGTGGGAGGTTCATAAATTTAAATTAAATATGGACGACGCAGGACAGGTTATCGAAGACATGGAAATACACAATTCCCAATATGGGAATCCGAGAGGGTTTGCAAATAAAGGAAAACATAATGTCGATTCTGTATCCTTTTTGCAAGCTCAATTAACGTCTATTTGTCAAAAATTAGATAATCTTACTGCTGCTCCTAACTCTGTAGCTAATGTTTCTGC